GCAGTCACTCCTTCCCACTCCTATCCCCACGCCCTAGGCAACCACTAATCTACTTTCTATATGGATTTGCCTATTCTGGACATTTCATATAAATGAAATTATACATCTTTTGTGACTGGCTTCTTCCATTTAGCATGTTTTCTTTTTGTCTGGGGTTGGGTTTTTTGGCTTTCTTAGTGTTAAAGTTTATTTATTTATTTTGTTTGTTCTATTAATAAGAAAGGAATGTTGAAGACCCTGGGCATAATTGTGAATTTGTCTATTTCTCCTTGCAATTCTATCAGTTTTCTCTAATACAGTCAGAAATTCTGTTACTAGGTGGATATGCTTTTAGGATTATGTCCTCTTGATGAATTGAGCCCTTTCTCATTAGGAACTGGTGTTCTTTATCTCTGACAATATTCTTTGCTCTGAAATCTACTTTATCTATTAATATAATCAATCCAGCTTTTTTGGTATTCTTTCTTTCTTGGCATATATTTTTCAATCCATTTACTTTTAACCTATTTTACTTTTTTTTAAAAAAAGATTTTATTTGACAGAGAGAGACACAACACAGTGAGAGAGGGAACATAAGCAGGGGGAGTGGAAGAGGGAGAAGCAGGCTTCCTTCTGAGCAGGGAGCCCGATGCGGGGCTCTATCCCAGGACCCTGGGATCATGACCTGAGCCGAAGGCAGACGCTTAACGACTGAGCCACCCAGGCACCCCTGACCTATTTTACTTTTAAAGCGTGTTTCTTGGAGGCAACATATAGTTAGGTCTTGATTTTATATTTAATCTAATGATCTATGCCTTTTAATTGGAGGTAGATCATTTACATTTAATGTGATTATTTATCTGGTTAGGTTTAAATCTATCATCTTGCTATTTGACCTATCTCTTCCTTGTTCCCATGTATACTCACCCAGCTTCACTTAATGACAGCATCCTACATAACCACAGTGTACTGTCAAAATCATCACCTTCATTTTTAAAACTTATTTTCAGCGGGTACAGAATTCTAGGTTGATAGTTATTTTCAGTACATTAAAGGTGCTGTTCCATTCTCTTGCTTAAATTGTTTCCTGAAAAGGAAAATGTTACCATCCTTATTTTTGTTCCTTTGTATTGTAATGTGTCTTTTCGCCTCTGGTGCTTTTAAGGTTTTCTCTTTATCACTGGTTTTGAGCAATTGACTGTGAGGTGTCTTGGTATACTCTGTCATGCTTCCTGTACTTGGAGTTTTTTGAGCTTCCTGCATATGTGGGTTTATAGTTTTTATTGAATTTGGGAAAATGCTGGCCATTATTTTCAGGTATTTTTTTTGTCTTCCCCTCCCTTTTATTTCTCCAGGATACTAAATTATTCATGTTAGACCATTTGAAGTCATCTCACAGTTAACTGATGCTTTGCTCATTTTTAAAATGTTTCTTCTTTCTCTGTTTCATTTTGGATTATTTCTATTACTGCCATTAAGTACACTTTCTTCTGAAATGCCTAATCCGCTGTTAACCCCGTTCACTATATATATGTATATATATGATACATACATCAGATGTTGTAATTTTCACCTCTAGAAGTTTGACTTGGATTTTTTTATATCTTCTGTGTCTCCATTTAACATTGGAACACATATATGCAGTTATAACTTTTTTAATGTCCTTGTCTGCTAATTTTTATATCCGTGGTGGTCCTGGGTCTGTTTTGATTGCTTGATTTTTCTCATTGCAGGTTGTATTTTCCTGTTTCTTTGCATTTCTGATCATTTTTACTTGATGCTAGTAATAGTGAATATTACCTTGTGGAGTGCTGGATATTTTTGTATTTCTGTAAATATTTCATGAACTTTGTCCTGAGATGCAGTTATATTTGTTGGAAATTGTTTGATCCTTGAGGGTATTTCTTTTAAGATGTGTGGGCAGGATTAGAGCAGCATTCAGTCCAGGGCTTCTTATTCCTCCCTATTGAGGTGAGACTTTTCTGCGTGCTCTACATGAAGCCTTGTGAAATATAAAGTTTTTCAGACTGGCTGGTCAATATTATTCCTGGCCCTGTGTGAGTGTCAGCTACTCTTTCCTCTAATCTGTCCAGGTGGTTCTTTCCCTACTCCTGAATTGTTTCTTCATGTGCATATACTCATCAGTACTCTGGTGAATACTCAAGTCCCTCCGCAGATGTCAGGAGTTCTCTGTGAAGCTCTCCCTTTTCCAGTACTTTGTCCTGCACATTTGATCTACCTTAGTCTCTCTGGGCTCTTAGTTCAGTCTTCTCGACTCAGGGAGTCCATCAGGCTCTGCCTGGGTTCTCCTCCCTGTGCTGGGGCCTGGAAACTCTCTCTTGTGTTTGTTTCCCACCTCTCAAGAATCACTGTCCTTTGATGCTTGATGTTCAGTGTCTTGAAAACCATTGTTTCATATATTTTGATTGTTATTGTTTCAGGCAGAAGAGAAAAACCTAGTTTTTGTTACTCCATATTGACCAGAAATCAGAAGAATGTGGGAGAGAAACAGAAAGGGATGGTGCCAAAGAGAAAAGGGATAATTGCAGGAGAGAAATCCTTAAGCAGCAGGAGGGATGTAATCTAGGTCCCTGGTAGAGGGTGTGCGACCTTCTAAGGAACTGAAATACTTTCTCCATTATTACTACAGGAAAATCAGATATGTGGATCCAGAGCTAAGTGGATCAGTAGGAAGAGTGGTTGAAAGGAGTGTCTTTTTTTTTTTTTTAAAGATTATTTATTTGAGAGAGCGAGAATGAGAGAGAGAGCGTACATGAGAGGGGGGAGAGTCAGAGGGAGAAGCAGGCTCCTCGCTGAGGAGCGGGACTCAATCCCGGGACTCCGGGATCATGACCTGAGCCGAAGGCAGTCGCTTAACCAACTGAGCCACCCAGGCGCCCGAAAGGAGTGTCTTCAAAAAAAAAAAAAAAAAAAAATATTTGCGAGAGAGAGAGCAAGCAGGGGGAGTGGTAGAGAGAGAGGGAGAAGCAGGCAGCCCGCTGAGCAGGGAGCCCGACGTGGGGCTCAATCCCAGGACCCTGGGATCATGACCTGAGCTGAAGGCAGATGCTTAACCGACTGAGCCACCCAGGCACCCTGAAAGAAGTGTCTTAATTGGGGTTCCCCTAGAAGACCCCGAGATTAGGGTGTCCGTCAGTCACTTAGAAGAGGATCCCAGGAAACACTATTACAGGAGTGGAGAAGCAAGGTGGGGAGAGGAAGGCAGCTAATAAAGGCAACATTATCAAACAAGTTACCACTATAAGTAACCGGGGCTTAATGTGGGGAAAGTGCCTCAGAGTTATCTCAAATTAAAAGGAGACAGAGTTGGCTAGTTTTTACACCCCCTCCTACCAATCCTTAGCTGACTGAGGGGCATGAATTTCCCAGGACGTCAGTGCCTGCATGGCAGCCCCCACCCCCGTGGCCAGAGAAAGCCCTCAGGCAGAGAGGCCTATCGCTGGTAGAAGGAGTTGGCCAGTCTGTCCTGAAATGGCAAGGCTCAAAGGGGCAAAAAGTGGGGCACTGACAGCATCTCTGCACGTGCTACAGATGGTTACTGGGATTCCAGCATTTAGTCCACACAAGACAAGACAAGGTCATCATGTGAAGATGGAGATTTGAGGGGAGAGGAAATGTGACTCTCAGTCTGGGTGCCCCACCTGAGACTGCATGGGTCCCATGTGCTACAGCTCTTGATCAGTCTTTTAATACTGGCACACGTGTGCATGCACACGCACCGTTTTCCCCACAGCATTCCCACAGTGCTCAGTCCACAAGGCTGGGTACGGCGCACAGCATAGATGTGGTGGATGCAGCAAGAAGTAGTGAAAAGAGCACTAAACATGGAGCCATGTGCCCTGGTTCTGCCAATTACTGAGCTGTGCAATGTCAGAAACTGCTTTCCCGGTTGGTAAAATGGTGCTAACTTACCTCTCAGGACTGCTGGGAGAATGTGAAGAGAAACAGGGAACATGAGACCACTCTATAAACCTTAGAGCACTGTGCACATGGAGGAATTATTACCACCAGAGGCCACCTGGTACTTGTAAGATGCCTCAGGAAAAGAATTGCTAAAGATAAGCTTCCCAGTAAAACCCACTAAAGGTCACAAGAAAATCTCTGGGAGGTCAAATGAAGACTTGATACTGAAAGTGTGGTCTGTGGTCCAGCCGTACTGACATTGCCTGAAATCTTGTTTAAAATGCAGAATTCAGATTCCAGACTAGAACTGAATCCAAATCTACTGAATTAGAAACTGCATTTTATCAAGTTCCTCAGGGGGTTCAAATGCACACTAAGGCAGATTCACTGGTCCTATCACTGGGGTCAAGCTCTGCTGCTTTTCCCTCACTTACCTCTCTGATTTCTGGGGCAGATCAGCTGCCTCCACCTTAGATTTTGGACTCTAGTCGGAGTCTGCTCCAGGGAGAGAGGGAGCCCAAGTTACCCCTCTTCTTACTCCTTTAGTGAGGCTCTGTATTCTCGTAGCTGAGATGGAAAATTTTAACTATGTTCATGATAATGATTCTGATGAAATAAAGAGTGGGTAGTAGAATCATGTTCAGAAAAGTATGATAATGCATTTCTGAAGTTTACCATCTAAAATGGTTAAAATTAACAACAACAACAACAATGTCCTGTTGCTTAATTTATTTGAACTGTGGCAATCCGGAAAAGTCGTCAGTACAAAATGACTCATTCCCTGAGGGTTCTGAATAAGATTCTAAAATCACCACCCATGGTTTTCCTGCACTTTGAAGTGACCGAACAAATGACAACAGAGATGGGCACTGTACTCTGGGTCCAGAGTGGCTGATACACAAACATTTCACAACAATAACATCCTCATCCCCAAACAACCTGCAATAGGGATGTTATTTCTGGATTTGCTTGTGCATTTTAGTTAATGAGCATTTGTGCACCTGTGGGCAGAGCCCCAGGGCCAGTCTGGGAGTTTTCTATACAGCCAATCAACAAACTTGCGCCTCCTCCACACCAGGTACTTTTTCCTAAGGCCATGAAGATGAATCCAACTCTCAGAGCAAAACTTCCGGGGAACAAACATTAGGAGCCATAAAGGAGATGTAGAGAGGCCATAAAGGAGATACAGATGAGGCGAAGGAGAGAGTCAGGGGAAGCATCCCAGGTGACCTTGGAGATGCAGAGAGAAGGGATCTGGTCAATAATCAGAAGTCAGTGCATTGTGTGTGAGAAGGGGACAGCCTGTGCAAGGTACAGAGTGTGAAAGGACTGGACAGGGTTCTTCTTCCAGCAGGACAACAACCTAATGCTAAGGAAGAAAAACTCAAAATAAATAGCTCTTTAAATCATGTTAACAGCCTCCAGGTGACTGCTCTGAGTTCACTGCCATCTAGTCACCAGACACCCCATCTTAGAGTCCTCTGCCTAGTTCATTTTACTCCCTTGCCCATGGAAGAAGTCCACCCTTCTTCCAAGATCCTCAGCTCTGGGGTTGCCTTTTTGTTGAGGCCTCCACCCCAGCCCCAAACCTGACCTTTCCTCTTCTCGGCATGGATTGGGATGCCATGGACAGGTAGTAACACAGCAGGGAGGATGAATCAGATGGGAGTTGATCTACAACTCCTGACAACCTGAAGCTGAAGTGTTTGTAGGAAAACCAGTCAGGGATGTCTCAAGGCAGTGGGCTTTGGCTCAGGGAAGAGATAACAATTGTAGACAGGAATTTGGGACTCATTAGAAAACTGAGGCAGGTGTAGCTACCCACCTACCCACTTCTGTCCCTGCATATCTTCTTTCTCTTCTGTTATAATGGATGAACCCAGAACCTCCACAAATCTCATCTCCTACTATTCAAGAAGAGTACACCAGCAATTTGTCTCTCTTCTGCATTATAAACACTTTCTCCTCTCCACTGGATCAATCTCATCAGGAATCCCATTTTCTTAAATTAGAAAACAACAGACCTCTTGGTCCCATTTGCCTTTCCAGCAACTGCTCCATATCGCTGCTCTTTACAGCAACTCACTGAATCATCTGTAGTCTGTCTCTAATTCCCTCTTCACAGCCTCCTCTAGCTTTTGTCCCCAACTCCACCAAAACTGCTCTTTCCAAGGTCACCTATGACTTCACATGGTTCACTCCATGAGTCCTCATCTTACTTGATTTAGCAGCTTTATCTGTTTCCAAGCTAAACATCTTATGTTTCTAAGACACTAGAATCTCAATTTCTAGCTTTACCTCCCATCCTTCTGGCCACTCCTTCTCAGTCTTTTTTCTGGTTCTGCTTCATCTTCTTGACCCCTATGTACTGGAACACCCAGGGATCAGCCCTTGGAGCTCTTTCCTTTTCTACCTACCTACTTGACTTCTCCATTTGATGTCTAATAGGTGTCTTGAATTTAATTTATCCCCACCTGAGCATTTGGTATTCTCCTTCACAATTAGATCCTCCAGAGTCTTTCCTATCAGTAAATGGTTAGTCTCCTCTTCCAAGTTGCTCAGGACAAAACCACAGTGTTGACAGTGATGTCAGCAAAATGGCAGAGTAGATAGCTCCAAGCTCCTATACTACCCACACAAACTGAAGCATAAGCAGAAACTACCAGAACCAGTTTTGTCAGAACTCTGGAAAATAGTCAAAGTTTTATATAGCAACACCAAATGCTGAATCAAGAAAAAGGTGACTTTGAAAGTGTAGGGTGGTTAATAAGGGCTGGGGAAGGTGGGAAGGGGAATTATTATATAATGGTTACAGAGTTTCAGTTTGGGATGATGAAAAAGTTCTGGAAACGAACAGTGGTGACGGTTGTACAACAATATGAATGTTCACAATGCCACTGAACTGTATGCTTAAAAATGGTTAAAATGATAAGTTTTATCTCATGTATATTTTACCACATAAAAAAAATGAGACAGAAACAAAACTATAGGAAAACTTTGTGGCATTTCTACTAGCCCTCACCCTACCCTCTCCCTGGCTCTGCAACGATCTTAAGGATGTCCATGTTGCCAGGGTGAGACCCTGGTCCCTGCTTTTGAAAGGAACACAGCACGCTTTATTTGCCAATTATTGTGTATATTTATTCTAACCTGCCTCAGGGCTATTTGAAGGACTGAAGCAAGGCAGTCATCTCTGTTTCACTTAACTCAGAACTCAGTCAGGTTGGAAATGCAGAATACATTGTTTGTAAACACTGTAAGGCTGACAAACAATCTGCAGACAGCTAAGGCAAAAGATTATGGTTGAGACATGAAGCCTGGGAGGAAAAGACAACGACAGTTTGAGAAATTAGGGCATTCAAAAGCACTTTATATAAAAGAGGAATTTAGAAAGCCACATACATGCTTAGAAAGGAACTGAGAAGATCTCAAGCTTTCACCTCAGGCTGGTCCCTAGGCTCAGTGGAAGTCTGGGTAAGTGTTGAAGAAGGACCATAGCACAAGGCCAATCTGCAAAGACCAAGAAGTGTGAGTGTGTGTGTGTGTGTGTGTTTGCTTAGCTCCTGGGGTTCAAGGAAATCTCTGTCAAGACACTAGTTGAACATATGCTGAGGAACAGAGACTTCAGTGACCACACATGAGAAGAATACAGTCTCTGGAAAAAAAAAACAGAAGACATCAGTAGACAAATGAACCACCACAGCCTTTGACAATAAAAAAAAAAAAGAAAAGAAAACCCAGTAAATCCAGGGGGAAAGGGAAACTGATTTCTAGTTACCACACCATAATATTCAAATGTTCATTTTCAATAAAAAAAATCACAAAGTATACACATAAACAGAAAAATATGACCTATTCAAAGAAACAAAATTACTTGACTGACACAGTTCTCAAGAAAACCCAGACATTGGACTTACTACACAAAGACTTTAAAATAACTGTCTTATATGTGTTCAAAGAGTCAAAGGATAACATGAACGAAGAACTAAAGGAAATACAGAAAGTGATTTGAGAACAAAATGGAAATTATCAATAAAGAGAAATTATAAAAGGAACCAAATGGAAATTCTGGACATTAAATGTACAATTATTGAAATGAAAACTCCATGGAAAACAGTATAGAGGTTCCTCAAAAAAATTATGAACTACCATGTGATCCAAAAATACCAATTCTGGATATATATTCACAGGAAATGAAATCAGTATCTCGGAGAGCTACCTGCACTCCCATGTTCACTGCAGCATTATTCACAATGGCCAAGATATAGAAACAACCTAAGTGTCCATCAGTGGATGAATGGCTAAAGTAAATATGGTATGTGTGTGTGTATATATATGTGTGTGTATATATATGTGTGTGTGTGTATAGATATAGATATAATGGAATATTATTCAGCCTTAAAAAAGAAGAAAATCCTATCATTTGCAACAACATGGATGAACATGGAGGACATTACACTAAGTGAAATAAGTTAGACACAGAAGATAAATACTGCATGCTCTCACTTATATGTGAAATCTTAAAAAGTGAAACTCACAGAAGAGTGTAGATTGGTAGCTGCCAGGGGCTGGAGAAATGGGGAGATGTTGGTAAATTAAAAAAAAACTTTACTAGAGGGGTTCAGTAGAAAATTTGAGCATGCTCCCTGCTCTGCGGGAAGCCTGCTTCTCCCTCTCCCACTCCCCCTGCTTGTGTTCCCTCTCTCGCTGTGTCTCTCTCTGTCAAATGAATAAAAAAAAATCTTAAAAAAAAAAAAAAGAAAGAAAAAAGAAAATTTGAGCATGCAGAAGACAGAATGAGTAAACTTGAAGATAGAAAAACTGAAATTATCCTGTTACAGAATTATCCAGGAACAGAAAGGAAAAAAAGGGAAGAAAAATTAAAAGAACCTATGGGACCTGTGGGACACTATCAAAAGGCTCAATATATGCATTATGGGAGTACCAGGAGGAAAAGTGAGAAAGGGGCAGAAAGAATATCGGAAGAAACAACTGAAAATTTACCAAGTTTGATAAAAGACATGAATCTACACATTCAAGAAGTTCAATGAACTCCAAGTAGGATAAACTTACAGAGCTACACTAAGACATATTATAGTCAAACTGTCAAAAGACAAAAAGAAAATCTAGAAAGAAACAAGAGGGCAGCAACTTGTCAGGTACAAGTTCTCCTCAATAAGGTAAACAGCCTATTTCTCACCAGAAACCATGAAGCCTCGGAAGGCAGTGAGATGACATAAAGTGCCGAAAGGAAAAAAACTGCCAATCAAGAATTCAATATCCAGCAAAACTGTCATTCAAAAATGAGGGAAAAATTAAGACATTCCCAGATGAACAAAAGCTCAAGGAGTTCATTACCACTAGATCTTCCCATAAAGAAATACTAAAAGGAGTCCTTCAGGGGTGCCTGGGTGGCTCAGTCGGTTGAGTGTCTGACTTTTGATCTCAGCTCAGGTCTTGATCTCAGGGTCCTGAGTTCAAGTCCCATGTTTAATAAATAAAATGAATCCTTCAGATTTAAACAAAAGGCCACTCGACAGTAAGTTGAAGCCGTATGAAATAAAAAAGAAATAAAGACCTCCAGTAAAGGTACCTACATGGGAAAATATAAGAGCCAATATTATTGCATTTTTATTTTGTAACTCCACTTTTTATTTCCTACATAACTGAAAAGACAAATGCATAAAAGTAATTACAAATCTGTTACTGGACACACAATGTATAAAGATGTAATTTGTGATGACAACAATGTAAAGGGGCGATGAAGCTATATAGGGGCAAAGTTTTGTATGCTATTGAAGTTAAATTAGTATCAATTCAAACTAGGCATAAATTTAAGATGTTAAATGTAATCCCCATCGTAACCACAAAGGAAATATCTAAATATCTAAAAAATGTACACAAAGGAAACGAGAAGGAAATAAAAACAGATCAATAAAAAAAAAATCAATTAAACACAAAAGAAGGCCATAATAGAGGAAATGAGGAATTTTTAAAAGTATTAGACATGGCAAACAAATATCAAATGGTATAAGTAAATCCTTCCTTACTACTAATTACATTAAAAGTAAATGGATTAAACTCTCCAATCAAAAGCTGAGACTGGCAGGTTAGATTAAAAAATGATCCAATATGCTGTCCATAAGAGACTCGTTTTAGATGCAAAGACGTCAACAGGTTGTAAATTAAAGGACAGAAAAATATATTTCATGCAAATGGTAACCAAAAGAGAGCTGAGGTGACTATACTAATATCAGACAGAACAGACTTTAAGTCAAAAACTGTTACAAGACATAAAGAAGGACTATATACTGATAAAGGGGTTGATTCATCAAGAAATAACAATTATAAATATACATGTACCAAACAGAGCTCCAAAATATATGAGCCAAATATTAATAGAACTGAAGGAAAAAATAGCTCACAATAACGGAGACTTCTGGAGACTTCAGTATACCACTTTCAATCATAGATAGAACATCCATAATGGAATGAAGATAGAAGTCAGTAACAGGAAGAAAACTGGACATTTTACAAATATGTGGAAATTAAACAACAAACTCTTAAACAACCAGTGATTGAAGAAATCATAAGAGAAACTAGAAAATACCTTGAGATGAATGAAAACAACAAAACATACCAAAATTTACAGAATGCAGCAAAAGCAGTGCTCAGAGAGAAATTTACAGCTGTAAATACCTACATCAAAAAAGGAAAGATCTCAAATCAATAACTTAACTTTACACCTTGAGGAACTAGAAAAAGGGGGAAAAACAAAACAAAACAAAAAACTAAGCCCAAAGCTAGCAAAAGGAAGAAAATAATAAAAGAACAGAATGGAGATAAATGAAATAGAGAACAGAAAAACAATAGAGAGAATCAATAAAACCAAAAGTCAGTTCTTGGGAAAGATCATCAAACTGACAACCCCTTAGGTACTGACAAAGAAAAAAGAGAAAAGACACAAATAACTAAAATTAGAAATGAAAATGGGGGACATTATTGCTGTCCTTGCAGAAATAAGAGAATTATAAGAATATTATGAACAATTGTACACCAACAAATGAGTACCTAAATGAAATGGACAAATTCCTGAAAACACACAAATTACCTAAACTGACTTAAGAAGAAAGAAATAGAAAATCTCAACAGATCTATATAACAAGAGATTGAATCAATAATCAAAAACTTCTCAACAAAGAAAAGTCAAGGACTGGATGGCTTCACTGGTGAATTCTACCAAACATTTAAAGAATTAAACCTAATCCTTCTCAATCTTTTTCAAAAAATTAGAGGGAACACTTCTTAACTCATTTTATGAGGCATTGCCCTAATACCAAAGGCAGCTAAAGACATCATAAGAAAATTACAGACCAATATTCCTCATGAACATAGATACAAGAATCCTTAACAAAATACTAGCACATTGAATGCAATAGCACATTAAAAGGATTATATATATAACCAAGTAGGATTTATAAAAGGAATGTAAGAGTGGTTCAACATAAGAAAGTCAATCAATTTAGTTATAGAACAAAGGGAAAAACCCACACAATCACCTCAATTGATGCATAAAAAGCATTTCACAAAATCCAACACCCTTTCATAATAAAAAGACTCAGAAAAGTAGGAATAGCTTCCAGTTCTCTCTCTGACCTTATATCCTACTACTCCCTCTCTCCCCATTCACTCTGACCCTATCTTTTTTTTTTTTTTTTTTTTTTACTGTTCTTTGAATATGTCAGGCACAGATCTGTATGCTATTGTTCTTGCTGTCCCCTCCATGCTGAACACTCTTTCTGCAGACATCAGCCTGGCTGACTCCCTCACTTCCTGCAGGTTTTTTCCAATTCACCTTTTCAGTGAGAACTTCCCTGTCTATTCCATCTGAGATTTAACACCCACAGATCCTAGAATTTCATATTCTCCTTCCCCACTTTTCTTGTTCTAATTATCATGATACCATTTATTTTTAATTTATATTTATAGTCCATTTAGAATGTAAGCTACATAGCACAGGTTGTTTTATTTTTCCACTATTTTGTTCACTGCTATATCCCTAGTGGCTAGAACAGTGCCTGGATCATAATAACTGCTCAATATTTATTCAATGATTTAACTAATTAATCCATATATGGTAGAGGCCAAAGTGATAGCATAGATGATAGACCCTGGTGAACTCTACCATGCAAGGAAATAGCAGTCGATCCTGTGGAGAACCAAACAGGCTGCTACTGACTTGAATATGAGAGTGAATCCTAATCAAGATTATCAATGATCTCACTAAACTCTAACAAACTTGAATACGTTGATATTCAAGGGCATAAGAGAAAAAAAATCCAGAAAGCTCAGCATCTCTTACTTTAGGCTGAAAGAATTTAGAATGACTCCTTAGAATACTGCATTTTAAGGACTCTCCCAGAGGCACACTGTGAGAAATTGCAAATAATTCACAGTAGATAACCAATGGTAAGTGCTAAGTAAACATGTATTTCTCCCCAAATGCTAGAGGAACCCAGCAGGGGGGTGGGTAAGTTCCCCTTGAACACATCCAGGCAGTCTTGGTGAAGGATGTGGTTTTCAAGCTGGGCTTTGAGGAATGAGTGAGCCTTTCAAATATAGAGCAAAAACTGTATGTGTGATGGGGTAGACAGGGAGTAGGTCGGGGTAGTGAAATAGGTTATGAATCTAGAGACACAGACTGAAGCTTTGGCTAAGCCCTTGAATGCCACAGACTCATACTACAGTACTGGGGAACCAGCGAAGATGTTTGAGAAAAGGACATAAGGAGATGAGACTGGCATCAAAAAACGAAAGGTCAAATATATTTTTCTAATGAACCAGCATTAACTCCAAATATTTTGTACATGTATTAACTCATTTTGCCGGGTTTAATGGCTCAAAACTTTGCAGTGACTTCTTGTTGTTCTAAGAATGAAACTTCAAACCTTTATCATAGCCTGCAAGATCCACATAGAGGTCTGTCTCCACCTTCTGCTCCCACGCTTGCTGCCTTCACTCACTGTGTTGCTGCCACACCGGCCCACTCAAAGTTCCCTTCTGCCCAAGCCCCTCCTATCACAGGGTCTTCATAGCTGCTATCCTTCTGCCTAGACAGCCGTCCCCTAACCTTTTTACCTAGTTAAATCCTCTTCCTTCAGATCACTTTATAATTCCTTTCTGAGCAAAACTCCCCAACCTCAGTATTTATATACTTATTTTCCCATCATAGCACTTAGCAGTGAATATATTTAGTTGCTATCTTTGACTCATATATCTCCTTTACTAAGCTGAAGTTCCATGAGGCTAGAGGCTTCTTTCCCTGGCTATTATATCGCCAGTGTCTGCACATAGAAAGTGCCCCGTAACTATCTGCTGGAAGGAAAAGAAAAAGGACATTTAAAAGTGGGAATTAGATAACATAGCATAAACCATTCCATCTTGTGCTATCCAAAGCCTCTTAGCGCTTGGCCAAGCTCACATGGTTTGTGAGGATTCAAACCTCGGCTTGCTTTTTTCCTTAAGTAAGCGCCATGTTTTCAGTTACAGTCTGTGTGAGCAAGGAAGAGGTAAGAAAGCAGAGCAAGACTTCTCACAAGTACAAATCTGATCATATGATGTTTCAATCCTTTTTTCAATATATAGGTCATCAAGCCTCACTTACTTAGGCTTATAAATCTGTAAGCAGAGGCAGCAGACTGTTTTCTCACTCTTTTCTTGGAAAGGCCTTGCTTATATGGTGCTTGTTCACTCTACTTCCTCTTACCTGGGATTCGTGACACATAATTGAACTCAAAAAACAAACTTGTGTGTGAGCACCCCTGTGTAAAGGCACCTAAGAGTGACAAAGAGATTACGTTATAGGCCAACATCAAGTTCCCCTGTCTTTCCAAAAGCCAATCCTGTGTTTGGTGGCACACACACACTCCTATATAGAAAGTAGCAACTTGGGGATCAGCAGGATGCCTATTAGCATATAATTTGTGCATTTTGGTACTTGTCTCTGAGCCCTCATTTTCTATTTATAAAGTGGGAGTGGTATAAATACTAGACTTAAAAAATAGAGCACCTAGCTCTGCGCCTGGCATTTTTACATGCACTATTTCATCCAGTCTTCACAATAATCCCAAGGGGGTCAGAAACACTCAACTTTGTATTAGGGGGACTGGGACTTGCTCAAGCTCGTATGATCCATTAACACAGGAACCTGGGACTCAAATCCAGACCACTTGGCCACTATTTCCTTTGTACTATGTCTCTTATCCTAGCAGGTCATTGAGAGAGCCTCACAAAGAAATGTATTTAAAAGTGTTTTCAATTATAAAGCTCTATGCAGTTTTAAGAATGTTGAGCCATTTGTTACATTAGAGAGGAAGAAGTAAAACGTGATTAAGGTTTTAAGGGTGATGAATTAATTACCAGAGAACAGGTTACTTTTCTTTTAAGAGTGGTATTATTGCCTGTACTTCAAAAGTTCTCAATTTAAATAATAAAATAGAAAATCATTTAATTTAAAAATGGGCAAAGGACATTTCTCCAAAGATCTGTGAATGGCCAATAAGCAGAGGAAAAGATTCTTATCATTAGCCATCAGGGAAATGTCAATCAGAACCACAATGAGGTACCACTTCACACACTAAGATGAATATAATTTAAAAAAAAAAATAAAAACAAAAAATGAATAATAGCAAGCATTGGTGAGGATGTAGAAAAAGTGGAACTGTCCTATACTGCTGTAAAATGTGCAGTCACTGTAGAAAAGATTTTGGTAGTTTCTCAAATCATTAACCATAGTTACTGTAGGACCCAGCAATTACACTCCTAGATATATACCAAAGAGAACTGAAAACATATGTAAAAACTGTACACAACTGTTCACAACAGGATTATTCAGAATAGCCAAAAAGTAGAAACAACCCCAATGTCCATCAACCAATGAATGGATAAATAAAATGTGGTATATCCATGCAATGGAATATTACTGAGCCATAAAAAGGACCGAAGGACTAAAACATGCTACAACCTTGAAAATACTATGCCAAATGAAAGAAGCCAGTCACAGAAGACCACATATTATATGATTCCATTTATATGAAATGTCCAGAATAGGCAAATCCATAGAGACAGAAAGTAGTTTAGTGGTTGCCTAGGGCTGGGTGATGGGGTGTTTCAGGGGTAACAGCTAAGGGGTACAGGGTTTCTTTTTAGGGTTATGCAAATGTTCTAAAACTGGCTGTAGTGATGGCTGCCCAACTCTGTAAATATAGTGAAAATCACTGAACTGTACACTTTAAATGGGTGAATCGTATGGCATGTGAATTAATTTCAATAAAACATTTTTTTTTAAGTTCTCTAAGTTCAGCATAAACTGCATTCTGCAATGCAAAGCATTTATCAAAGTTTAAACCAAATGGATTTTTCTTATCACTGCCTGTAACAGTTGTTGGGACTCTAAAAATTCTGTAGTATTTGCAGCATAATCTCTGAATATCTTTTACAAGGACTGACTTAAAATTACATTTAATTTATGGACTTAAACATATGAAATACAAATAGATCTAATGCTAAAACTTTCAGTAAAAGGATACCTGGAGATCCATATACGGCATCACCATCCATCCACTTAATCAAGAAACCTAAGAGTCACTTGTGTTTCCTCCTTCCTTCGGCCCTGGCATCCATTCCATCAGCAGGAAGCTCTGTTTGTAAACTCCGTAAGGGTAGGATTTTCTGTTTATTTACTGTGGAATCCCTGGTGCTTAGAACAGTACCTGACACGTAGAAGATGTTTTAAATAATATTTGTTGAATAAAGAAAAGAATTCATGCTCTCCTTGAAAGTAATACCTTTGAAAGAAAAAAAAAATGTTAAATCCCTCACTTGATAGTTTGTTAATATATACACACTTTAAAATTGTAGCTTGTGGAAGTTTCATCTGCCATTCCAGTTGCTGGAAACATATTAAGGCTAAATTCTCAAAGGGACACAGGTATGCTATGCTGCCAGAATATGTAGAAGTAGAACGTAATAACTTTATTCAAGTTTGCTCTTGTTACCTGACCCATGAATATTTAAAAGATATTTTATTTTATAAAAACTTACATCTGTAAGTAATGGACTGACCATAACAGAGGGCTTAACCTTGAATACATGGTTAGGCTTAGGGGTCCACAAACCCCTAAGACTGTATGTAAAATCTAACATGTCAATTGGTATGCATGTCTTTTTGGGGAGAGTTCATAGTGTGATCAGATTTTCAAAGAAGCCTATGACTGGAGAGGTTAAAAAGTTACTTAACTAGAAACAATCACAAAGTCTTTAAACATGAATTTGTACAATAAAATTAAATCCAACAGCCCCATCTATAGGTAAGTCGTTACCGCTCAGGAGAAATGATGGCAACTACCAGAGGTCAGTGCATCTTATAAATGCTTGTGTTTAAATCTTCAGTGTCACTCTCGTGGGAATTTATTAACTATAGTATCACAGTATTTTTTCTAGATATTGATGCAAAAATTAGGAGACTGTTGATGAAATCTACTTACAGTACTTCAGCACCAAAAAATTGGGCAGTTATGCTGATATATGTATGTACAGTTCAACATTTGTCAGTCTTACAATGCTTATTTATAGTGAAATCTATATAAAACCGTTAAAAACTTTTCTATTTACATTTTTTTAAAAAATGAAAAGAATTGCTTCCTTTGCCACAACTTGTCAAAACTGACCGTTAACCCTCCCACCCTCTTACCCCTCACGCTACTTGTGACAGACAGTGATCACAAGACCCAAACATATTGCTTAAACAAACTGTGTCCTAAAAAGGCAGAATGCTTAAAAACATTACATTTAGAACTGTAAATGAATTTTTATACATTTCAAAGGGGGTTAAACAAAAGTATGTAAAAGTTATCTTCAAAGTTTCAGTCCAACATGAATGTGCAATTTCAATGTTAAGATAGCATCATATGAATAATTTTTCCTGAACATAGCTGAACATTTCCTTTGGGCCAGAAAATGTTTCTTTTCCTCTCCTTCACAATGAAACATTTTCTCTTAAGTTTTCTTAAAGGAGCCGGGAGGGGTGGGAGATGGAAAGGGCAGGCAATCCTGGTTTACAGAAAATCTGTCAGAAAGAATATGGCCTGCTTTGAAATGTTTACATTTAAATAAATAGAAGGCAAGTGTGCTGCCTAGAGCACAAAGGAACAACAACACAATAAATTAGCATACAATTGGTGAGAATGTACAAGCCACCCAAAAAGCACTTCCCACTGGTTAGGGATCTGATTTCCACCATCTAACAAGGATTCTTTAATGCCAGTATTTTTCTAGTTATTTCATAAACTATAAACTGAGCAAATGTAAAATGTTAACCAATTCAACACTTCCAGGGATTTTCAAAAACATACAAGGTTTTTTAAAAAACTGTTCCTGACACACCGTTTCAAAATACAAACTATTAACATTCTCCTTTTCTGATGGTGTTTTGCTCAGTAGAAACCAGTTGAGGAACATTCACAGGAAAAGTCTTTCCACTGCATGGCATACTTTTCCATCAGCCGTGGTCCAACAGAGAAAGAATATCAGGTCTTCTGTCACTGCAGATGTGCATCTTTTTCTTTTTTTCTTTCTTTCTTTTTTTTTCTTTTTTTCCTTTTTTTTAAAAAAAAAAGTACAGTCCCCTGTGAGTTTTATCTTGTTTTAAAATGCTGCTCCTGCAGCAGTTCTTGTTGAAACACTGCGATTTTGGGGTCCACAGCCTAAGCATGGGCAAAGTGCTCTCTTTAGACATCAAAAATCAAGGGCTTCCCTGGACACTTGGTAACCAAGTCGGTTTTAAAGTGCACTCCTGTTTCCAAAACACTTAGGACCGTTCAGCAGAACTCTGAGAGGGGCTGGGCTCGGTTCCATCCTCTGTGCTACTGTCTATGTCTTGCTCCATTGCCGTCTCATCATCATCCAACTGCTGGCTAGTGAAGTTGTTTAGCTCAAGAAGCCCACTGGGCTCTACAACCACGTTGGAGCTGGAGTGACAAGGAATAGCGTACTGGGGAATGGCCTGGAAGAGAAGACACAGGAGAGAGGCTTTATGGTAAGAAAAAGAAACAGGAGGATTTCTCCAACACTAAGGAAGGAAACAAGGAAACTGACATTTATTGGACAACTACTACACGCCAGGCACTGTGCTAGGTGCTTTCACACATGATATTCTACTAAATCCCCATAGTAACACTATAAGAAAAATGTTACTCCCATTTTACAAATGAGGAAACCAAGAGGGTAAGTGACTTAATCAAGGTCACACAGTTGGTCAAAGTTAAAGTGCCAGGATTCAAGCTCAAGTCTTCTAACAACTTAAAGTGATCTTTCCACTTCCTGATGGCACCTCTTCTAGTAAAGGAGGCTGAAGTCTGTGCCTAATTCAAGAGAGAGACTTTAAAGGACATTTTCATTTGATCATTAAGCAAATTTTAAATGTAAATGTAGTCAGATTTCACTCATTATTATCTGCAAGATATAGGATTAATTTGCTGACACCACAATATATTTTAAACCCTTCAGTAACCTTCAGTAACCCTTTGGTAGTTCAAAGGGGAAGTTATTTATTTGGGTCACATACTAATACTCTTTCTAAAGAGGACAAAACCGTCTTTTAAACAATAAAAATACCAGTAGACAAACACATATTATGGCCATATTGCCTTGTCAGGTTCTTCTTTCTCATCTTTATCAGATACCTTTTTAAAAGGTCTATCAGTTCACATTATACCCCTGCTTAAAGTTCTACAACTGTTTCCTATCATAATTGCTATAAAATCAAACTTCTTATCACGGTTCCAGGCTCATGCCAAACACACTCGTACTAGTTCTTCCCCTCTTCCTAGAATACTTTTTCTCCAAATCTCTCCATGGCTGGTTCCATCCTGTCATCTGCATCTTAGCTCAAATGCTTAGAGTAAAACATTTTGAGAAGTCTTCCTTCTATGACCATGAAACCAGATCACTGGGTAGGTCCCACCCCCACCACTATTACATTGTTACTTTGTCTTCGTTTGTTAAATTTTTTTCTCACCCTTAGAATGGAAGCTCCAGGAGAGTACAGATCTTGACTATCTTTTTTCATTGCCAGATGCCCAGAGCTCTGAAGAGGGCCTGTCACACATTGGATGTGCAATAAACACTTGCCAAATGAATTGACCTATCTTTAACATTAAAAGTCCCAGGGCAAAATTGAGTATCAGGAAATACACCTGACCAAAAGAATCTTCTACTGCCGGCGGGGGCGGCGGGGCGTAGGATGGGGAGAGGGATGTAAAAATAATTTTAACACTATAAAGAAAATATTGTAAGATGCCAAGGCACTGAATCTAAAGTAGTGGAGTTTTCTGTTATTTGTTTCCTCCCACTCTGTTCCATATAGCTGATCTGTGAAGAAGTCTTAGGTGGGGGTCAGGAGGCCTGGACTGCAGTTCAACTCTGGCTCAGACTTGCTGTGGACCTCTGAACAAGTCACTTCACCCCACTGAGCTTTAACCTCGTGTAAAATAAGATAGAGAAGATATACTCTAAAGATCCTCAAAGTTCTAAAATTCTATGAGTTCCACATATACAGACTCCTTCAGAACAGAAGATATATTTGTCTTGTTTACTCCTCTAGTCTGCACCTAGCACAGCACCTAGAACATAGAGGTTAAATAATACATGTGGTATGAATGAATGAATGAATGAACAAATGAATGAAATACAGATTATCTGTCTACAAAGAACAATGCTTTTCATTCAAAGCACTTATTATTAAACATGTTGGATTCTTATAAAACACTTTTCAAGAATCAAAGCACTTCTGCAGACTGCTTTCATTCATCCCCATACTATTTTACTGAATCTGTAAAATCAGTACTTCCGGTCAAAGCTAAGTGTAACTAGTAAGATCTGAAAATATCCTAACAATATATTCCTGATGATTATAGTAACAGGAGCTATAGTTATTGAGTGCTCCTCTGTGTCAGACACTTAACTAGCTGCATTCCATACAGTTTTCCATGAAATCCTCAAAACAACCCTGTGAGGCAACGGTTATGGTCTCCATTTCACAGGGAATGAAATGCAGGTACGGAGGTGAACTCTGCTGCTCCAAACCACACTGCTGGGAAGGAGGAGTACGGGGGAGACTCAAATCCAGGTGCTTCTGACTCCAAAAGCTCGGTTCCTAACCAACACACTGTCCTGCCCTCTGACATGACCACCTAGCACATGGTATACACTGAAGGTTAGCTGTGTGTTCTGTAGAGAGCAGACTCATTTGATACCATCCTTGATATACAAAGCAATTTTCAGCCCTGTTCATAAAGTGCAGAAAATAATTTCCAAATAAGCTACCCCGAATTATTTCCAGTTTAGGGAGTATCCCAATTTAAACTCTCCCATCCAAGTACTAACCAGGCCCAACCCTGCTTAGCTTCCGAGATCAGACGAGATCGAGCGTGTTCAGGGTGGGATGGCCGTAGACTCTCAGGAGCCACAGTAAATTTTAGTAAAATAGTTAACAGCTACCATTTATTGGGCAATCACCAAGAGCCAGGTACTGTGCTAGGTGCTTCATCTCAATTTTGTGTAATCCTCCCATCAATCATGTAAAGTAGGCATTCCTTATTCCCATTTTTACCGATGAGGAAACTAAGGCAGAGTGAGGTTAAATAGCCCTGCCTAAAGTCACATAGTGAGTGGCAAAGCCAGGAACTCATTCCTTTTCTACCTCTTGTGGGGGCGGGGGGGGGGGGGGAGGGTGTACAAACGAATCCCTCCGTCAAGAATTACTGAATTTGCTAACAATTGTTTTTACAGAGGAACCAAATCATTTAATTCAATGGCCAGTTCTATCTGCCTTAGGCATTTTCCCCATACTTATTTATATCATATTGGGTGAATACTGGTCAATTTGCATTCTCTTATAGCCTGGCATCATGGAAAAGGGAAAGTTTACCACAGAAACTCCAAGTCACACAACAGTGACTCTATGGTAAATCCTAGATTATCCACATTTCAATGAATCCAAATTCTCCATTAACTAAAATGTGCTGTTCTGATAACTTCCAAGCCATCTATCAGCATAGCCAAAAAGATGACAAGTGTCAAGAAAACAACCTGAAACCCTGCAAGGACAAAGGGAAGTAAAACACAACTTCTAAAGGCTAGTCTGAACTCAGTAATTCTTTAGTCTTGATCTATTATGCATGATGACAGATGAGTTTTAGAATGAAGGGAATGTGAGGCATAGAAGATCTACTGCCAATGAATAATTCATTATGTTCACTAGCCTGTACTTACCAAGGCAGGACAGTAACCATTAACAAGATTTTTCAACAATGATTAAAATGAAAAGCAAAGCCTTATGGTTAATCCCAAATTAAATATAAAATTAAATTATGTAGAAACACTTTCTTACAACATGTTTCTCCAGACACTGCAGTTAATTAAGGTTTAATTGTCCTGAAAGCCATAAATTTAGATCAAGATAAAGAACTATGTTTTTCCAAGGAAAGGGTCCCTGAAATTAACTTGAAATAAAAGTGCAATCCAGTTATACCCCTTTTTTGAGCAAAGACCGGGGAGGAGTTTGACCCCATCAAGTTGCTGATTTTCTGGGCTGACTTACTGAGTTAACACTGGCAAGCATGTTTTGTATCTATAAATCAAGCTGACATACGGGCTCAGGGTCCTTGATCGCCTCTGAGGGGTGCTGTGTGATAACATCCACCAATTTTCTAGGATTCTCTTCCAGAAAATATAAATTTGTATATTTGCAACAGGTATTAAACCAAATTTTTCAAATGCCATCTCAAAAATAATCACTATGTCTTTTGCCATCTTGGCTTGACTCTTCCTGCAACATCCCAATCACACCAAACCCACAACCCCCAAGATGCCCAATACTTCTCATGTTCCTTCCAGTTCTTACCTGGATGATAATTTCTGCTGGGCTCTCTTCAGCTTTCTTTTGGCCTACATTCTGAATACGCATGAACTGGCCTGTCGCAGGCACTCCTGGTGCATCGATTTTCCTTGTCGTTAAGGGAGGGCCAACAGCAGATGGACTTGAACAGGACTCTCTACATTTCTGTTGCTGGGGAGTGGAATTCGCCATCCCTGCCACCACCACGTGGGTGGAGGGTAATGATCCTGCTTCACCAGTGAGCATACTAGTGGCAAGAGCCTTCTTTGGGGGATCCACTACCATATGCTCTACATTTGTATCAATCTGAGCTTCCATCAAAGACATTTTCAAAATGTCTGACACTGCTGTCTTCTCAGAGGCCTGAATGGGAGATATGCTTGTAACTGGTGATGTCAGCTTAGGCACAGAACTGCCACCAGTTATCTTTGTAACTGTGGGAGGCTGGCGCCCCTCAAAAGTTATCTTTGTAACAGAGGATCCTTGGGTTATAATTGGCTGCTCCACCTGAAAACAAATTGGGGTTGTGTGTGTTACAGCTACATCTCTTTGAGAAAAACCTATCCAACACCCCAGATAATATGGCAAAAGAAACATTCGTGCGGTATACTAGGAAGACATTCTGAATGAAGCTTGGTGTTTTAAAAGAGGGCTGTATGGGAAAGTATCTGGTTACTTTTAAGAAACCTAGGGAAAGAGGAGGGGTAAAAAGAACCTTCGTCTAGCCAGCCAAGGTTCATAGCAGTAAACGAAAAAAAAGTCACAGCAGCCTTGTTTTTCTTTGGGATTTATATCCCCACACAGTATACCTTCAGCCCATTCTCATATTATTTACATCATCTTCCATTTTTAAATAAAAAGTAGGATTTTCAATTTTTTGCTTCAAAATACAGCTATACAAATATATTTTCTATATATGTATTTATAATACACATAAATACATCACTCCAAAGCCACTGGTTTTCCCCTAATATAATTTTTCTTTTGAATATCCAGATAATTCCTCTTCAATCTAGAAGATAAATCTAGAAAGTAAATTTATTAACTAGATGATGATGATGTAAACTACAAAGGAAGATGGTTCAATGAAGCTCCTTAAAAGACTGTAGTTTACTTAGCATTACTACCACAGATACGAGAGTTTACAAGCATGGGAAAAAATATTTTATATCTAAAAAATACAAATAATTTAGGGATCTTGCTTCTATGCACCGCTGATCAATGCTGAAGTGATTTCGTTAAAAACTGCCTGGAAAATCAAGTTCTGCATGCTATGCTTTTTTTTTTTTCCTTCCTATATTAATGCGTGCATTTCTTCCCTAATGTCAACCTTCTGATGGGGTAAAGTAATACCAGCACAAATGAGGCTTTTGAGTTTCCTCTTGCCAGGAGAAAGCACTGCTAATCACGATAGGGTCGTGATGTTCTCATTTTTTCCGTGAACAGAGAAGTTTAACTTTGCATGCTACCAATATTCCGTTACCTGGCTTGCCGGCTGTTTCTCTGATGCGGCTGGGAGCGGCATTTGGCTCTGGGGGGTTTGGGGTTGCACGTAGATTTTGGGCTGGTTCGGAGCCTGCTGCAGTTTAGGGAGCTGCTGCGTGGTTTTCACTGCGAGCACCTGTACTACAGTTTGTGGGGGCTGTGCCATTAAGGTAGGAAGCTGCCTGTCTTTGGCCACCATGGGATGCTGTGTGTGCTGTACATCTGGCTTGGGCTGTGCTTGTTCTTGCTGAAGAGGGGTGAGTTTCTGATGCCTGATGGAAAGCTGGGGCATTTGCGGGAGTTTGTGCTGGAGCTGGTCTGCCTGCAGGTGGATGGTCTGCTTCTGTTTAGTCTGGAAGCACTGCAGAGTTTTCACTTGCAGCTGAGTCTGTTCCAGCTGGGGCTGGCTAAGTTTCTGCTGCTTAGCTGACTGTGACTGAGTCAGGGCAGATCGGTAAAACAGACCTGTCTGAGGGTCTAAAGTGTCCATCTCTTCAACCTCGCCCTCCTCAGTTCCAAGTTCCTCGCTGTGTTTGGTAAAAGCAGTGTGACTGCTTAATGCCTGAGTAAAAAAGGCACAAAGTAAGAATGAAATAAGAAAAACACCTACATTGCTACATTTTCCTCAAACTGGAAAAGACTTGGTTATGAGATTCATTCAAAAATTTTCAGAAGGAAGAGCCTAAAAAGAAAACTGCAAAAACTGGTCTACTCACTTCTATAAGAAAAGTCCTCGAGGGCCCAGAATGTATAGGTAGGAGGAATAAGGTTGCCCTGCAAGCACAGCTCAACACAGAAAAGGAAGAGCCTCCCTGGCTCAGGACACCGCTCTCTCGCCTGGTCATCAGAGATACCGACCCATCCAAAGAAAAGAACACTGCAACCCAGGAACGACGTGTTCAGAGAAAAGCCAAGGTTCAGAGAAGCCCACGTGTGCATGTCCAATGCTGTCCAGAAGGGAAGAGTCACTGTCTGAGGATGCCCATCGGGTCCCCACAGAGGGCCTCTCTGCTCAGAGTGGAAATGGTTCATCAGGCTTCACCAAGGCCTGTGTGAACAATCCTCTGCACTAGTCATCCTCGCCCCTTTGGTCATATTCTGGGCCCACTGGGCAACAGTTTCCCAGAGACTCGGCTGCCAGGAGGGAAGGAAACTGGGGGAGGGGATGAGAGCACTCTTGTCTGTGGAAAGGGAGATTGTTCCGTGTCGGATATAACAGTGATGGGAGGAGGCATCGATCTTGAGGGACCTGGTTCGGGTCAGCCTGTTCGACCTCTCTGGGGGTCCTGAGAAAGCTCAATGTCAGGACCTGCCAGCATCCAGGCTGAGATCTGATACTTAGCTAAACCTCTGGCCACCTGGCTTTCCTCAGTGACACAAAATCCACTCCAACCCCATCCTTCCCACTTCCTTATCATGCTATTCCTTCATTCTAAACTTTAAAACTCTGAGATTCAATTGAAACTCTCCCCTATCTCATAATGACCTTACACATATAGGTTTTTAATGCACCAATGTCTTTATTGCCATTCAGGTTAGTTTGCTTAAAATTAGGATCAACTGCTACCAGTCAAATGATGGTGATTTATGTGACAACTGATGACAAGTCACGCTTAAATCTGGCATCTATGACATCACTTTGTATAGAGGCAGGATACTCTGAGTTTAAATCCTGGCTCTGCCACCCAGAATAAGTTACTTAACTTCTGTAAGCATGAGTTTCCTCATTTGTAAGAGGGATAATACACCCACCTTGCAGGATCATAGTTGAGAATTAAACAAATTAATGTATTTAAAGCTCAAAGCACAGTATCTGACACAAAATCAGCTGATCAGCATATTCTTTTCTTTTCCCCGTTACCCCTGGTAACCGATTTTCTGTTGTGTATTAACTCATTCTCCTTCCTCATTGAGTCTCCTCCTCCTTAACTGGTCACATATAGTGAAAGAAGTCAGATATTTATACCTACTTATAAATAACGTTTCCTACGAGAATTCATTCGAAAAGCAAAACACCTAGCAACAAACAGCTAAACAAGCCAACTTCTATTTCATTTAAAAATCTCACCTCAGTGATAAATGCTTCCATAACAATGGATATAGAAAGAGTGACCAATTCTGAAGTCATAGATTCATTTGGATAGTCCCACCCTTTTGAAATGTTCCAATTTTACAGAAGATCCATGAATACTGTTTCTTAATTACATTCCAAGCATTAAGACTCTCAATTCATTTCCTCTACTCAGTCCTCACAGATGAAAGAACTACACAAATGCTCTTCAATTCAGTTATTTCCTCTCCCATAATTGATGAAACTAAGCCTTATTTCAGGAAGGAGGCAGTTACAGAAGGTAGGAAGAGAAAGAAGAGATACAACCTGCTGCATAATGTGGGTGATTGCTCCAGGGGAAGATGCTGGTATGGACTTCACCACCACCGAAGTCTGTGTTGCGGTCTGTGACTGAGCCACATGCTGGAGCAGGGTCCGCTGGGGCTGGGAGGGCTGTTGGGGCTGGGAGCGATGGCTGACTGAAAATAGAGGAGGTGATGATATTTCTCCAGAAATCACCACAGCATCTGTAACCAGTAGTCATTTTAAACAAATGTCTGTGAGATTGCATCACAGAGAGAATGTGTGGTACTGTGAACTAGGAGCAGAAGACCAGAGTCTGCCCATCTATGAGCTGTGTGACTCTGAGAAAGTCACTTATCTTCTCTGAGACTCTGTGTTCTCATCTGTAAAATGGGAATAACAGAGCTATTATAAGGATGAGATGAGAAATGCAGAAGCACTGTGAAAACTATTATCACAAAGGAGGAACAAACCCCTTAAAGTTATATCCTCCTGTGAGCTGTACTTAATGTCTCCAACAACCTTCACCCCATTAAGGTAACAAAACAATAATACATTTCTATAATCAAATCCTAGACTATTATCTTTAAGGATACTAAGATTATACTTAATTTACTAAGATAATAATTTATTGGTCCCAGTTCCAAATGCAATACAAAACCCAGAAGCATTCATTCTTTTACATGAAGTGACACTGTCTTGCAGCCTTATAGTTCCTAAAGATGTAAGAGGTCAAGATGATACTGCACAAAGAACTGCACCAAGAGTCACACCTGGGTGGATTCTGTCCCACCTTGCCACCAACCAGCTATGTGAATTTGAAGAGGTCATTTAAATTCTATGAGTCTCTAAACTTAGTCTCTAAACTTTTGTTTATTTTTGTTTTTTTAAAAGAATAAAAATTTTTTTCTACCTAGAAGAGGATCAAATGAAGTAACAGATGGAAAATGGTCCTTAAATTGTTAAGTCATATAAAGCAAACAAAAGAATAGAAAAATCCAAATTTTGTTCATCTGACATAAATGGGTGAGAATACAGTATAACAGGAAAACAACCCCATTTCCTATTTTCTTGCTACAAAGGTCCAAAGGAATAAACTAGACATTTATATCGACGTAACAGATGTAAACCAATACTTCTACATTGATGCCAAACTATCTCTTACCAGCCTCAACTTCAACTTTTTAAACAGTAAAACATTCACCACTTCTTATTCTATAGAGCCTTAAAAATGCTTATGGTTACTGGGAAACAAGCTTTTTGAATTAAAAACAGAGTAAAACAAATCTGTAAGATTAGCTAAGGATTTTGAGAATATCAAAATTCTCTGAATAACCCATGATTCTAATGCTCAAATATCTTGATTTGCAATTTCAAGTAGTTCCATATTCAAATGGTTCCATGTTTAGAAAAGTCATAGTGGAATGTCCAAGGAGAAGATGATCGCTACAGAAATCAATGTCAAAGTACTACCTAGGTATTATAAGTACAGAACTAAAACTATCCAGTGAAATATAAACAGGCTTTATTTATTTTTATAACTCATTCTGTCTATATTCACAGTTTTTCTATTGTTGCTTACACATATGCCTACATGTGATATAAGAGATTATAGGCAGCACCACTGGTATAAATGTACTGCAGTATCTTACTGCATTTCACAGTATGCTTTATATGCATATTTTAAATTATGTGAGTTAACAAAATCTTCCATATGTGCTCCACCAAACTGAAAAAAAGTGTTGATATTAAAACAACTATGGAAATCATTTATAATGGGCCTGAGGAGAAAAAACAAATCATACTCATATTAAAATTAAACTAATGAAGTTTTTTACTGATAGAAGCATCATCAGAAATGAATGACATTTGAAAAATAAACAATTTTTCATGAAATTATCAGATTATATGGAACATTTCTGCTGCCCATACTAATCTTAATTATAACATTAAATTTTTTATTAAGAAAGGAAATGGATTTAATAGATCAACTAAAATCATTTAAGAATAATCCTCATTCAAGATACTGTAAATCCGTTCATAGTAATTCCCCAGTGTGCAGGAAAGTCAGAGAAAACTAACACCTACTGTAGGATAATACAAGAGATCAGGTCCAGGAAGCTGGATCTGAAGTCAAAGAAAATGCTTAATGTGGCTTAGGATATGATAGGGAGGAGATAATGGAAGGAAGTCAGAGAGTGAACATTTGGAAAACAGCTGAAGTGACCCTTAACTGCGCCGTATCAACAGCACAAAACAGTCACTTATTTCTTTAAAAGCTCTTATTTTTTCCAATGTCAAACTGCTCATTTCTGAGAAAGAATCCCACTATTCTGCGAAAGGAAAGTCTCCTTTTCACTGAGCGGAGCTTACCTTTCCTCTACCAGATCAGAGTAGAGCGCATCCATGTAAGTGGTTCCCCCCCAAACAATAATATTTAACCTTCAGTTATACTACAAATGGATGCACACCACTTACCTAGAAGGGGAAAAGCAACCTCTGTCCCCTCATCAGTGCGTTCTGAAAAGGATAAGTAAGGGAAGAAATCATAGGTCTTTTCCTCTGTTTACCATTTGACAATCTAGTCTATCCCCAGAGGTTAATACTGATTGCCCCAACATACTGCCCTCTGCTTTCTTTAGCTTTCTGCTAAAGATCTCTAAAGAAAGATGCTAGATGGCTTTCCATAGTCTCTAACTAGATTTTCCCCTCTGGCAATTTTAACCCATTAATCTTTTAAAAATATCTCTTAAAATGATACCAAAGAATTCCTTTTCTGCTTTGGTATTTTCTACATCCTTTAAATATTTGTAACTTCATATTCTCTTTTAATCACTGCTTAAGAAAACTTAAGACAGGTGTTCTTGACATACTGCCTCGTAAGTCATTTCTCCTAACCCCTAATTATTCATATTACTATCCTCTGAACTATTTCAAATCTCAAGGTAATGAAGTGTCCAAACCAGAAAGCAGTATTCCAGGTGTGGTCTCACCAGAATATGAGAGAAAGAATCTATTATCCTTCCTGCTCCACTTTTCTATCTATGCCATCCAAAAATCTCATTAGTGTTTTACTGCCAGACCACATTTTAAACAAATACCTAATTTGCTTTCCACCAGAACTCCTAAGTATTTACATGGATTTCAAGTTTTCCACATTTTTTTTCTTTATGTTAAAAAAGTATTGGGTTTTATACCTTCTTTCTCCCTTGACCCACCTCCCCTCCCCCAAAACTAAAAAAACTCAGATGCCTCAAAATACTTCTTCTTATATAAAAGGTATTTTATCCTCTCTACAACTGTCACCCTGTATTCACAGACATCATATATGGCCAACTTGCAATTTGCAATAACCAATTGATTTTTTCCCCCTCATCATTAAAGACAGGGTAAGTCCCAAGCCTGACAATGTGAATTTGCTCTCAGAGCAAATTGGAAAAGATCTAGAAATATAAAACCTATATTCTTCCCCAAACAAGCATCCCATCAAATCCAGAAAGGTAGCTCTCCTACCTTAATACTACTTTTTAAAGGACACCTACCCGTAGTGATGTATTCAGCAACTAGTTCTGACTCTACCACAGCAATGGATGGACTCTCAGGAGAATGTCTCTTTTCCTGGGTCATCTGAATAGGCACTGCCATCTGACTCAAGTCAATAGTGGGTTGTCTTGGTTTAGATTCCAATTTTTCCTTTACTGCATAAAAAAGTCAGGGGAAAAGTTAACTTTTATTACAAACAAGTATCAAAACCAGAGTTGTCCATGGGAATAATGAGCCAGACCTCTGTGGTGCCACACTGGCCATGACTAAGGAGGCAGTGAATTGAAAAGAAAAAAGCAGACTGCTATGTATGGTTGTAGAAGGCACAATTTGTGCAACCATACCGAGCAGCCTAGCAAGAAGAACTCATATGCATACAGACTAAAATTCCCCCCTACTATGACTAGGCCAAACAATCTGTTTCCCTTGTACACACTCCTCTTAGAACATTTCCTTTACCCTTCTTCAAGGTAGTACCTGGTATCCTCGAGTTCAACCTGAAAACAAAGGGTGAATAAGCAGTATACACCATGATTTGCTCTAGGGCATATCTACCCAGAAGAGTACAATACAATGACCGGTTTAATTTGATCTGTTAAAAATTCAAGATAATCTCCAAAGAAATCTACCAAGTCTTCAACGACTCTTAAAGAATAAAAAATTTCAGTGTTAGGAAAAAACAACCTCTCTGTTCTACAAAAATGTTTTATGGAATCGTCTGGAAACAAGAATGGGTTCCATGGATAAATTTATATTTTCTATCTTATCATTTTTCTAAAAAATCTGCTCATTCGGTTTCCACCCTCTATAGGACATTAATGGAAATGGCTGAGTATGTCAAAGACAAGGAGCTGAGGAAGTGCCTAAGGCCAAAAACGACACCAATAGAAAGATTAACCGAAGATATTAAGTGCTAGTATTCTTTGGCTAGAGTAAAGTGGATGTTACAACAAATAGTTACCAGTAATTAAGTCCACCGAAAGATCATTCAGATCATTCCTATGAAGTACAATATGACAAAATCAAGCTAATCGTTTAAACAAAGAAAGCAAAATAATATCACAGTCACCCCACAAGTAAAGAGGACACTGAATTAGGAATCAAAAGACACGGAGTCTCACTCTGCCACTAGCCAATTGGGTAAACTCTCTGGATCTCAGTTTATTTATGCATAAAATGAAAGGGCTGGATGAGATCATTGCTAAGGTCCCTTACGTACCCTAACGATCTTTGACTTATTGTGTAACACGAAAGTCAGTATAACTGACACAGGTTTTGCCTAGAGTTTACTGAAGATATTTAAGCAACCAGAAATACTGACAGGATCTTGTTAAATGAGGATGGCTTTGCACAGAAGCTCAAGTGGTTAAATTATACAATGAAATATAAAGAAAAAACAAATGAGAATGCTAGCAAGGGCCATTAATGGTGTTTCATGTCCACAAAACTGCCCACCAATATCAAGGAGGATGGCAGGGGCCCGGCAATCTGCCTCCTACTATTCTTACATACAATTAGCAGCTATACTGCATCTATCCTTGTGCCTAGAAATGATAGAAACTACTGCCTTCTGGGTGACACGAGGCTACAGGATTGCCCTTTTAAGCAGGAGACAGAAAAGAAAGAGTTCTGTCCTTTTTTCTCCCTGACTAGTCTATCCTTCAGTACTCCTGGGCACATCTTATTGAACTGACAAGTAAACAGACTGCGGCAACGATTATAAACCAGTCCAGAGGGGGGAAATGTGCTCAAATAATAACAAAGAAAATATAACAGTGGTAGTATTTTAGCACAACCCATCTCTAGAGAAAACATGCTTCATTCAATTGAGCATGTGAATTCATACCTGTTGTCTGTTGGAGTTCTAATAGAGCTTTGATTGTTGAAGTAGCTGATTGTGATTCACTGGATACATCCTGATAAATTATGGTGGGGCTAGTCTCCATTGCAATCTCATGTTCTGACCAATCCTGACGCCGGGAAGCAATTACATGAACTACAGGCTGGGAATCTGTTTTATATTAGTTAAAAAAAAAAAACCCTATAAACAAAGTTTCTCTTAAAAAAAAAAACAATTTGTTTTTTTTTTTTAATCTTTGTATTTACTGTAAACTTCATGCTTTATCTCCCCAAGAAGACCGTAAGCCCCCAGAGGGCATAATATCTTTTGTGTCTGTATTTACTTACTCATTCACTCGTATACACTGATTCAACAAACTAGGCACCTATATGCAGGAGTCTATATTGGCATTGAGGATATAAAGGAGCTTACGGAATAACAAAGGATGCTCAAGAAGCACACAATCTGGTTGGGGAGACAGACATGTAAAAAGACAAATTACAATTCAATGTGATAACTGCTATAATAAATAGGGGTGCATTTGTGTAAGTAGATGCATGCTTGTGTATAATAAGAACAAAATGCTGTAGGAAGTCTTTTTTTCCCCAATGCACCTGAAAATGTGTTCTGTATTACAACCTGAGCATCTAGTCAACACTTACTGGATGGCTGAAATACTGAAAAGAAATCCTGTCCACCACCAACAAGAATGGACAGATGATCCAGAAAGCAGGATGATAAAACAGGACACATATAACATTTGGAGTTCAAAGTCTTAGGTTGCAGCCCCAGCTCTATCAATTACTTGCAAGTTGAGTCTTTGAGTTTTAGTGTCATTATTTCTAAAATGACAATGATAAAATTACCTCTCTACCTCACAGATTTCTGAGGATATAATGAAATAATATACATAAGAGAGCTCCATAAACTATGAAGGACAGCAGAAATGTTATTGTTGTTGTGTCCTAAAAGTTCTTGATTCTGAGACTCTTCATTAGTTTCAAAATGAATTACAGCCCTAAATAAGGCTAATTATATTTATGCTATGAAGTTAGGCATGTAAATACTAAATGTGCATCAAAACAAGCAACAAATTTTTGAGTTTTCCATCTACAGAATAGGCAGGTTGGACTAGACTACTGTTAAGTTCCTAAACTCCTTTGTCAGGATACCACACAGGACAAAAATTATGTTGGATCCCCACTCGCAAGTTTCAATTACAAGGGAGGAGAGACAAAATAAACATACATATAGCTTTGTGTTCTTGGGTAAAATCAAACGACTAGGGCAAACAAGACAAATACATGGAAATAAAAAGACTGCTTTGATTTGGATTAGTCAGTGAAAGCATTACAGAAGAATGAAAGAATTCATGTAGCCCCCCCAAAAAACAAGAATAAATTCAACATAAGTTCAACCTTCTTTGAACCTTATATTTTTGAAAACCACAAAGTTGTCCAAAAAGGTTGGGGAGGTGAAATGACTCTTTAAAACAAACAAACAAACAGCCTTGCCAAAGAAAACACAACTGATATACAATAGAATTCTACATCATTGTATATTCCATATACAATGGAATTTTTAAATTACCATTAACAAACTGTATCCCCTGTTCCCCAAACACTGGGTAGAATATATGCCACACCAGGGATGTATAATTTCCATTAAACTTCTCCCCAAATTCTAGAAGATTGTGGGACACTATACTGCAATACCAAATGTCATGTGATGCATATTACAGTTATTCTTTACTTGTTATAAGCAAATAGAACTTACACTTAAGAAAACTAATTTTATTAGGAAATAATTATTTTTATAAAACCTAAGTTCTCACATTTAAGAAATTCCCCCGGTGATGTAAATACCCTTTTGGGTAGGTGAGAGGACCCATAGGCAAAGAATGACTGCAACCCAATTCTGTAATATTCATTGAATATCCAGAAGAAAACAAGGATTGCATTTGCAGAGAGATGAGGTAGAAAGAGACTAAAAGAAGAAAACAAATTTCCACACGGGAGCACCTATCAGACATCAACCCAAATAACATCATCCTGTAGGGGCTAGAGATTCTTCACTCTTTCTGCCCATACTCAGAGAGTGGCTGCTCATCACACGGTATCACTGCAGCAACCCCAAGAGCTGTGACAAAGAATGAGAGTGTGAACCTACATGCAAAAACCAATCCTTGAGTGAGTTTCCTCTTTACTTTGGCTTTTATGCTTAAACCAAATAAACCTATTGCCTATTAAGTCTGATACTGAGGTCAGGATGCAACGACTAAGACATCAGGAGCTTGATCTCACAGTACCATTTGATTATGAAGTGTATATGCCTCTAGACTTCCCCCATCTGTCTTGAGGATGGTGGCCTTCTAATCCTCAGATATCTTTCCCCACAGGTCACTTAACAAATATTTACTGGACGTCTACTACATGTTAGGTACCAGAAATACACACTGTACTGTTATAAGCAAAGGCAGATCAGGCATCTCTATGGAAGAATGTCTCCTGTGACTTTACCATAAAAGGCCCATATCACACTTTCATAGTATAGTTAAGACCTCTCAGCTAGCAGGGATCTAAAAGTTCATTTAATGCTATCACCAATCCTATGCTAAAATCTTCACAATATCCCCACCAATCCAGGAACTGCAACACCAGAGAACTCACTACTTTGTAAGATAGTTTCCTTCCATTTCTGCAGTTATGAAAATTAGAAAATTTTCTTATATGGAACGGAAACAGGGCTTCCTGTGACTTCTACCCAATGGTTCTAGTTTCCATCCACATTTTCACAAAGACTCACTCTTTTCCCTCTTCCATGTCACAGTCCTCAAGAAAACTGACAGCTCCCAATGTCCCCAACCCAATCCTCATCTTCTCTTCTCCATAAAAAATGTCCTGATTCCACCAACCCTCTCTCACATAAAATGACTCCCAGATGCCTTACTCATCTAAACCACCCCTTCTAAACTAAACCCAAGATGTCTATGTCCCTTCTATGATGTAATATGTATCTGCCCTCTGAAGTACTGTCATAAAGCCCAAGGCCTTCATGGTATTTAACTGCCTAGACAGCATCACTCAAAATATTTCAAAGAACATTAGTTCCTCAAGATGTTCTGCAAAAGAAAGGTTCTATGGTCAAAAAAGTTGGGGAGCATTTTACATTACATACTCCACTCTTCACCTTTCACAATATATGTTAACACATAATAGCTCTGAAAAGTTCTGCAATAAGTATGTTTTGCTTAACCTGGATTCATTCCCCACCCTCACTATGATCTACCAAAATCATAAAGCTTCTGGAAAAATCATCCCAGAAACCAATTTGTGGCCTCCTTAAAGCAATGTCTTTACAGGATGCATTTTTGTATCTGCCTCATACCTTGTTCCATCTTAAATCCCTATCCTTGGTTTTGTCTCCTTGCTCTCTTCCATTTCACTTCACATAATCTTATATTCTACCTAATCCACCTTAAACCTACTGGAAATAAACTAAATATAAATAAAGAAATCCTTAATATTTCTCTCTTTTTTAAAAATCTTGGGGTGCCTGGCTGGCTCAGTTGGTGGAGCATGTGACTCTTGATCTTAGGGTTGTGAGTTTGAGCCCCAAGTTGGGTGTAGAGATTACTTAAAAATAAAATCTTAAAAATAAAATCACAGAGTTCTTTTTAACTCTTCTTGAAAGTTTTCTGTAAGTTTGAAATTACATTAAAAGAAAAAGTTACTGGGGCGCCTGGGTGGCTCGGTTGGTTGGGCGACTGCCTTCGGCTCAGGTCATGATCCTGGAGTCCCTGGATCGAGTCTCGCATCGGGCTCTCTGCTCGGCAGGGAGTCTGCTTCTCCCTCTGACCCTCCCCCCTCTCATGTGCTCTCTCTCTCTCTCTCATTCTCTCTGTCTCAAATAAATAAATAAAATCTTTAAAAAAAAAAAAAAAAGAAAAAGAAAAAGAAAAAGTTACCAAAGGTGGGGGAGGGGCAAAAACTACAAAAGAAATATAAAGGAAAAATGAACTGCTATGTAGTGCTTACATTCCCAATAGGTATGACCCTCATATACTTTGAAAGCCAACATGATCTTAGATTGACCAAAATCTTTATCCCTTTCTCTTTAAATCACAGCATATATATCATCAGTCATTGTGAGAATGCACTAAGGAGCTATATAAAGATATGGGGGGAGGAGGGGAAATGCAGATTATAGAAACTGGCTTTATAATCTAGATATACATATTCTGAATTATCTTTTTCTGTATTACAGAATATCTTTTTTTTTTTTTTAAGATTTTATTTATTTATTTGACAGAGAGAGAGAGAGAGACACAGCGAGAGAGGGAACACAAGCAGGGGGAGTGGGAGAGGGAGAAGCAGGCTTCCTGCTGAGCAGGGAGCCCGATGCGGGGCTTGATCCCAGGACCCTGGGATCATGACCTGAACCAAAGGCAGATGCTTAACGACTGAGCCACCCAGGCACCCCTGTATTACAGGATATTTTTTAAATAAATAATATGTAATGATACAGGACAAATAAATAAAAATAGATGAAGCCATGTATAATAAGAGATTGAAAAGCAGAAAACCTTCCACTCAATCACTTCCAAAAATAGCCAAACTTTCGTCCCATTCTTAGAATGAATACTTAAGACTGCCTAATGAAATGGCATGTTTGGGAAGTAATGATTGGCTTGTAGCTCCCTTAGGAAAAGACTAGCAATTTCAAAAGATAACCTGAGATTATGGATATAAAAACATACACTATTCATGTCTCCCTTTTAGCATCAACTCATAAGCTAAACATTTTACCCGTCCTCTATAAAAATATTTCTCAAGGGCAAAAATGGCATGTATTATTCAAGGAACCAGAGACTTAAAAATAAAAGAGGAAAATGCAGCTGATGTGCTGAAGTAAGAATGGAATCTTTAGGTATCAAATCATTAAGAAATAAAGATCATATGAAATAGAGAATAAGCATCACTCCACTGTAAAGTACAAAGACTGATTCATAATCAGTACAGAATGATAAACTGAATCTTCTCAGTAAATTGATCCAGAAAATATTACTATCATTGATAATATGCTGAAGAAAACTATACATTCTCTAAAATGAGTGTCATATTGTTTGTTAAAATCAACATTTTTGGGACACCTGAGTGGCTCAGTCAGTTGGGCATCTGCCTTCGGCTCGGGTCATGATCCCAGGATTCTGGGATCAAGTCCCGCGTCGGGCTCCTTGCTCAGTGGGGAGCCTGCTTCTCCCTGTGCCTCTGCCTGCCACTCCCCCTGCTTGTGCTTGCTCTCTGTCTCTCTCTGACAAATAAATAAATAAAATCTTAAAAAAAAAATCAACATTTTTATTTACTTTTAAATGATAAGTTTTCAAAGACCACTTCAAATGCTATCTCCTTCATGAAGCTTTCTTATCCTCTCCTCACTGGAGTGTGAATTTTTAGCCTTTGGCATTTTTGTTTGTTACTAATAAACTTATTATACTCATACTGAAGTTGTACATGTATTTTTTAATCCTCTACTCTAGATTTTTACAAGAACTATATTTTACTCAACATTCATAGGGCCTAGCACAATACTTAATATATAGTATAAATAAATAACTGTCAAATTCAATTAATGGGCTAATCAGCAATTTGAACCATATAAGCAATCTGAACTTCCCACTAATCTGGAAAGACTCTGTTAAACAGTTAGAATAATAAAAGTGCACCAGATGAAGAATCTGTATTAGAAAAGTGAAGATGCTCAGAAAGCACTCCAGAGAAAATAATGGGGAGGTGAGGAGAGGGAATGGAGTGGGTGAGGAATGATTAGGGGAAGATAAACAGCTTTGCTTATTAGATGCATCAGAGCATATAAGCAAGCATAAGCATAAATATACCTCCCATCTGACGATAAGGGCGGTCAAGGTAACTGACAGACATGAGTACTAGATTTGTAGGTCTCAAAGCTTATGATCAAGAATTTATTTCAAGAGACTTCCTAGACGAACAACACAATTAAAACAGCACTGAGGATAAAGAGCTTCCCTACTATGGAGTCTGGCTTCATAGTTCCTTCCTTATAATTAGGACAATCATATAATATCATCTAAATTGGGATACCTTTGAGATGAGAGTGAAAAGGAATGCTATTAATAATTACGCTAGAACAGACACAAACCAGGACTTGTCCTCTGCAAACTGCAATGTTTGGTCACTCTACTTATAGCCCACATATGGCCCACCTCTGGCCACCCTGATTCTTTCTCAAGGTTCAAAAGTAACCATTCAAAAGATACATTCACTCTGTTGCCCACTTCTCCTACTTACCCAAAATGAAACAAGAAGAACCACAGCACTATTCAAGTTTGGTAATCCCTACCTGCCAAAATCACCATCTATAGTTTACCAATTATTTGATGAACATATGCCATGCAGGAAAGAATGGTAAAGTCTTACTAAAAACAAAACTTCAGCTCACCGATTACATATCAAACAAAGGAAAATAAAATCAAAAGAATCGACAAATCAAAGCATGCATGTTTGTTTGAAACCCCTAGGTTCAACTATTTTGGAACTAGGGCACTATGTCAGAAGTAATTACATAAATCAGAAGTAAAATGGATCTTACCTTGGGAACTTTGGGAGGACTCTGTAGAAGAGGAACTACTATCGGTATAACTCTGTGGGTCTTCTTTTCCCTCTTGAATAGATGAATTACCAGCTTCTGCCACCCTAGATGCTTGCTGTAATGTTTCTGTGACCAGCTGCCTTGTTTGTTCACTAACAACTGTGGCTTGAAATGTCACTGGTTTGGGTTTAATAAGAACCTAGAAGAAAATCAGAAATATATCCAGTTTAAATTTTAGAGCACTATTTAAAATGCTAAACTTCTAGTCATGAATATCATCTTCCTGACATGGGAAGCTGCATTCTGTACATTTCTTATGCTTTGGGCACAACATTGTTCATTAAAGACTAATTCAATCTATGAACAAATCAGAATCAAGCAACATACAACATTTTAAGTGGTATGTGCCAGACTGCAACAGCCATAATTTTGACAAGAGGCTCTCCCCATTTTTTCTTGCCTATAATGACTTCAGAAGTCATTTTACAAGCTGTAGGCTATATAGTAGAATGACAGCCACACGCTATGGACTGCAGAACAGAAAGACACAAGAAGCCTGGATTCCCAATGCCACAAGAATAGTCCAGAATTTCCTCCCTCTGAACATTCATTAACATAAAAAATAATTAACTTATTATTATTAACATAATAAAAATAAAACCCTAATTTTTGTAAGCCACTGTTCTTCAGGTTTCTTTTCATTAGCAACCAAATGAAATTCCTAATTGAGACACCTGTACAAAGTAAACATGGTTGGGACCTAAGTCATCTTTGAAAAATCCCCAGAGAAACACTGACTTAGACAACTGTTATTAGAAGCAATATGAAACATGTGGGAGATCAACTCCTGGCAAAGGTCAAAACCACACACATTAAAATAAGTGAAATGGGAGAAAGATTTCAAACTGAACCATTCCACTTCAAGATTTGAAAACTCTAGGAGTTGACTTCAATTGGGTGCCTAGAATATAAAAATGTTAACTGCCCACATTTAGTTTTTATTTCTCCCTATGTAAGATTCAAAACCTTTTCAGACTCTATTAAATCACCCATTTCCAAGAATTCAAGAATGAAAACATGGGTTATACTATGATGAAGATGATGGAGCAAAGGAGAATTGTTACCAGTTGAAACTTAAAGGCAATTTGGACTTATTTCTAATCACAAAACTTATTTGTTTGATGTGTAAACTATTTCGCTATGATTCTGTGGGAACTGATTCTAAAGGCAAATTATTAAAGGTAAATTAAAACCTTTTACAAGAATTCTAGGATAACATTTCTGAACCAAAGCTGACATTATTTCCTTTGATATTCTCATAAAAACAATTAAAGTAGGTACTTTATAAAATAAATAGTAGTCTAGCAACATAAGATTAAATCCTGGGCCTCAATTTTCTAGGCAAATTTCCAGAAAAATTCTCCTATCTTCTATTGCTTGAAAATGAACAAATATCTAGCTTCTCCATCATTTAGGTTTCAAGTAAAACAAATTTTTTTAAGTATATAAAGTGCTTTCAAAGGTCATATTAGCTTATAAAAAATACTTTTTTCTGAGAGATTCTAAATAACTACCACTCTCCCTCAAGCATCTACTTCCCAAGTAACAATATATGCCTTCAGCAAATTTTATTCCAAGGGTTTGTTTCCCCAATCTTTGCTCATGACATGGTGCAAATATTTAGGTATCAAAAAAAAAAAAAAAAAAAAAAAGTACTGAAGAGAGAAACACAGGTTTTGAAAACAGATGATTATGCACATTTGGTCATAACTTTTAACAATCTGATTTTTTAAAGATTACTGATCTTCTCATTCAAATTTCCAACGTGGAATTTTAGGAATTTGAAATATACCAGAGCCAAGAAAAACCACTATATCTTATAGCATACCTGTGTTTTCCCTTGCTGCCCATAAACAATTTTTGTTGGGATGATTTTAGCTGCTGGCTGAACTGTGGAACCTATTCCTTTTGGTTGAGTTACAATCATTTTGGTGATGGGTCTTGTAGCAGTGATAATAGCTGGCTTTGCTCCTGTTGGCACCGTCTGAATAGTCTTTTCTCCCTAAATTAAAGTCAGTGAATATATGAGGTTTATATGTATTTCAATGCCAAAAACTGAAAAATCACAGTGAGGTTTTACCAGGATGATGGGGAAAGGACTGTAAATTAAATAGCAAAGTACAATGTTTCCAGGTGATCAAAAATCCTAGACTTAGTTGAGGTAGTCCTAAAAGTCATCTGCCCAACGTTCTGTCCAAAGAAGGCATTATTTCCTGACAAGTGAATTTAAAAAATTATCTCACATAAGAATATTTACTACACCGTCACATTCATAGAATACATACATTAAAATAGTCAGGAAGTTATAAAAGAATATATACTAAAATGTTAACAATAGCTATCTCAAAAGAGTCGGGATTATAGGTCTCCCCCCAACATTACCTTTATTTTCTAATTTACCCAAAATAGAGATTTATGTAATAAAAAATTACTGTGCATTATACCAATAGCTAAATGTATACACATAAACTAAACTCCCCAAATACAAAATTATAAGGACATACAGCAATGTCTATGCGAAGGGTATATGGGTATATGGGAAAATACAAAAAACAAACAGGGCATTTCCCACATTTTATTATTAGTATGTTACTAATATCACTTTAGTTTATTAACTAGATAGCTTAAGCTCATTAACTTTTCACCATTTTTATACTTTTGTCTGCTTTATTCTCAAGTACCTTCTGTCATTTATAGTCAATACTTGAGCTTACTTAAATTCAGAAACAGTGATTTTACTAAATTATTAATTTTTAAAAGTTAAAATCCATAAAACTGAAAAGAAAAATTTTCACCTTATTAGTTTTTAACTATTAGTCATCATCATCTAAATGTGTGGCTATCCAAACTTAGCAGACAGTAAAAACAAAGCACCCAGGTGAGCTGGCAGAAGGTAATCACTCTATGAATTTAGAGCTAAACAGGTTACAAAAATCCCAAGTTTAACTATTTGCTGTAAGGGAGATTGTTATCTAAGGGAGATATGAAGTGTCTGTCACTCATGTTATTACTTATTTTAATACAAACACACCCTTCACAGCAGCAGCTTTGGAAGGAGCTCTAGCTCATTTCCCAAGAGCCGCTAGTTTGCAAATAGGCATGCCTATCTATCAAATAGCTTAATGGGCCCTGTCCAAGTATAATGACCCATTCAAAGCCTATCAAAACCAACTAGCAGGCTATTTTTTGAAGAAGCTCTTCTGATGTATGTGTGTAGACATGCCCAGGTAACCAAGCTGTTGAGTACAGATGCATATACATATGTGTAGTCTTATGCTCTGATCTGCTTGTTTTACTAGTGCTTCCTGAGTCCAATTATTACTGTTAGATATACCTAGCAGCTAGGATTCACACACGACTCTTCAATGTATGTGACCACAGGACTCTGGGTACATGGCATCCCCTCTTACATATCAAATTCTATGAAACTATAAACCAGACTGTAAAAGCATTCTGAAAAGTGGAATTCTAATCCCAGGCTTTATTTTGGCTTACCATGTGAACTCAGGCTATGTTTTCCTACATGATGAAAAGATCTAATGCCAACATTATGAAGACTGCGATACCTAGGAAGCTACTAGAGATCTACTACAATGAAGTATGGCATTTTTTTTCTAGCAAAGTAGGGACATTACCAAGCCTAAATAGTTAAGTACCAAGAGTAACAACAATAAGAGAAAAACTACTTATTGAGGACTTCCTATGCGTCAGACGCTGTTTTAAGCACTTTTAAAACAGCTACCAGTTACTGAACAAACTCACTGGTAAAGATCACCATCCCCAACTTATAAATGAGGAAATTAAGGATGACGGAAGTTGAGTAAATTTGCCAAGGTCAAACAACTATGATACTAAGAGACAAAACCCAGGTATGTCTAACTCCAAACCTCTGCACGACTGCCTTTACAACTATCAATGAAGCGGTTGATTTTTTTTTTTTTTTTACTGGCTCAAAGAGGTAAAAATGAAAGTAAATCCCCATCAATTAATTTTCTTCATCCCAAATATTTCTCTTTGCCCAACCTAGGCCAATACTAGCCTCATATCTACTGGCCAGAGGCAGGAATAAAACTGTCCTCTAACAGAGGTCCCACTGCAGTTAAGCCAGTGGAATCCTCCATCTGGACTAAGCTAAGCATCTAAATCATGGTCATAAGCAACTTAGCTATGAGCAACATGTTTTAGAAATTACTGTGAAAAATGGCATCAGTTGGTGGTGTTTTAACAGTTATTACATCACAGTAGCGGTAAATCAAACCATACAGGTCATTGTGGGGTTCTGAAGTCCTTAGGCAAATATTTGTATAGCTGGTCTTTAAAATCCTCAGTGGATTCGCTGAATCTGCATTATAAGCTCTTACTTACTCCAGCATTTAGCAATGTTGTGACAACGTTTTTGCCCGGGAGGCCTTGAATGGTTGTTCCTTTTCCTGTTGTCTTTTGCACAACAATCACATTGGGCTTGGAAGTCATTGGGATTGTAGTGATTTTGGTAGTCGTTCCTTAGAGAAGGGGGGAGAAAAGGAGGCCTGAGTTAAGGAGTGATATTTGGTTATTTCTGTTTATGCTGTATATAATTAATACATGTAGTTAATGTCATCCCGAGATGACATGAAGGTTGTCATAAGGATGAAAATGAAGGCTTGGAACAGTAAGTAGAAGTTGTCCTAGAATGAGAGAATATTAAGAATTGACTTTTACAGCAGTCATCTTCCTGGAATTTGAAAACTTGCACACCAAAATCAGAATCTAAAAATATCACAATCAGTTTCCCCATCAATATTCCTCCCCTGATTAGTTAATTGAAACAAATAAAAATCTGCATTCCACAACAAATCCTTCCCCAAACCCAGTATTATATTTATTTGACGAGTGTGGTGGGAAAATTCTTCAAAAAAGAACATTAAAAAGAGGTAAATACTTACCAAAATTGACATAACATTAGACTCTAGAGAAAATTTATGAAAATAAGCCATTTATGTTTATGTGATTAAAAAAACAAACACCCATAGACCAAGGCACAGATTAAACACATGCTCTTGTAATCTGCAGCACTCTGAAGAGTCTGAGGATGAAACTCCAATTTATATATTTATATAAATAAATTTATATTTTCAATAATTAAGATCTACTCGGTAGATCTACATCTGCTGATCCAAACATACTATCATGTTCTCTTCTCCACATCCTTCCACAACCTGCTTCTCTTATACCTATCAAATTTGTACCCTATATTTTTTGACTGTCACAGTTGGAAATCCTAGTGCAAGTCTTGCCTTGTGAAAGCCCCTTGAGCTCCAAAGGATCTTTTTGCATCCCTAATTCCTCAGTGCTTAGCACATACTGTACGGCAATTACTCAGTAATAGTTGTTCAATGAATATGTGAACAAACTCAATTTGTCACCAACATAGGTCTTCTTTCAAAATGTTATCAATGTCAACTCAATAGATAGACCCTCATCTCTTTTGGCTTCCCATATTTTCTCCCTATTTCAAGTTTCTCTATCATACAAATAGCTCTCATGCTCCCGTTATATCAAACATCTTTTAAAAACCAGTTTGACCCAGAAAGTGAAATTGGTCAAAAACCTTTCCAGGGTAACTGGTTGACTCAGTCGATAGAGCACGTGACTCTTGGGGTTGTAAATTTGAGCCCTATTCTGGATGTAGAGATTACTTTAAAATAAAACAAAAAAAAACCTTCCTAATCCCTATTTTATCTAGATAGTTCTAACTTTCCCTCTTAGGTGTCACAATCCTACATGACCTGACCCTTAATCTACCAATTTGATCTTATTTGTTCCTATTCCATAATATACATAACAAGCTCTAATAATAAGTAATAACTCTAATAATAAGTAGTAAGTCTAATAAGTAACTTCTTCTAATAAGTAACTTCTTCACTATGGCTTCCTATTATTTGTCACATAGAGCCCAAATTCCTCTTAGGTTTCCAGGTTCTGCCAGACTTTAATTTTCAGGATTATCCAATATATACCTCTTCTTCAGTGTGTTGGTTTCCACATTGGTCCTTGAGCATATGGGTCCCAATGCTACTTCTATGCCTGTGATTTCCTCTGCCCATGAAAACAGGCAAGTCATACATTTCTTCTCTAGACTTGCATATCATTTATCAAATTTAGACTAAGCACAGAACAGGTACTCATTTAAAAACATGACCAATTAATATGTTCCCAAGAAGAAAAATTAAACAAAATTTTATTCTTTTCTACTAGACAAACAGCATTCCCTACTAGAGTTTTAGAAGTAAGGTTACACTAAGAATAAGAATATTCTATGGGTCCCTGGGTGGCTCAGTTGGTTAAGTGACTGCCTTTGGCTCAGGTCATGATCCTGGAGTCCTGGGATCGAGTCCCACATCGGGCTCCCAGCTCAGCTGGGAGCCTGCTTCTCCCTCTGACCCTCTCCCTTCTCATGCTGTTTCTCTCTTGCTCGCTCTCTAATAAATAAATAAAATCTTAAAAAAAAAAAAAAGAATAAGAATATTCTAGTCAATTTTTGGCAATCTTATTACATTATATATCTTTATACTTGCCATCATCTAATGTCTTGTCAGTCCAAGGTAACACAGGTTACATAAAAATGCACTTTTATCCACACCAGCTTCACAAATGTTTTTCCCTTTATCTGTAGTTTTTGAATAGTAAGCTGTTAAGAGCCACAAGACCACACTGCCCATTATTCATATGTATCAACTTCAACTATTAATTAACTTTAATCCCTCATACATGATTGATTACGATGACTCCTACAATAATACAGGCTCACTAAATACTTGGTTAATATAAGTGTTTTTAGAAAGTAAGCATTAAGGGGCGCCTGGGTGGCTCAGTCGTTAAGCGTCTGCCTTTGGCTCAGGTCATGATCCCGGGGTCCTGGGATCCAGCCCCGCATAGGGCTCCTTGCTCAGCAGGAAGCCTGCTTCTCCCTCTCTCACTCCCCCTGCTTGTGTTCCCTCTCTCGCTGTGTCTCTCTGTCAAATAAATAAATAAATAAAATCTTTTAAAAAAAAAGTAAGCATTAAAAATTATCTCAAGGAAATGTTAACTAAGTTTTAACCAAAGTACAAATGTATCTGATAGGCTCTCTATATATACACATATAAGTAAATATCTGATTCTAAGGAGTTAAATAACTGCAAAAATGGTCATGCCTTCCATTTAGTTGCTTATTCTAATGAAAAGAAAAAGTTGACCTTTCTAAAAAGCACTTTGGAAGCATGACTTTGCTTTCTAGAGAAAAGGAAGTAAGAACTTCACATAATAATTTATGTATAATGGGGTGCCTGAGTGGCTCATTCAGTTAAGTGGCTGCCTTTGGCTCAGGTCATGATCCTGGAGTCCTGGGATTGAGCCCTGCATCAGGCTCCCTGCTCAGTGGAGAGCCTGCTTCTCCCTCTGCCTGCTGCTCGCCCTGCTTGTGTTCTCTTTCTCTCTCTCTCTCTCTCACTCTAGCTCAATAAATAAAATCTTTAAAAAAATAATTTATGTATAATGATGTTTATCACGGGATTATTTATAATGACAAAAAAAATTGGAAGCCACCTAAAAACATTCAACAATGAGAAAATGGCTAAATTATGGTGCATCATATAAGAAAATATTGTGTAACCATTAAGTGGGGGCAGAGGAGGTGTCAAGATACATTTAAAAGAATAGGAAAATAAGATTATTCTGTGAAAAAAGGGGAAAAGCTGATTATATTAGATCTCAATGTAATTTAAAAAATACACACACATACACTTATAACCAAAAAATTGAACAGAAAAAGAAATTAACAGAAATACATACACTTAAATCTTAACATATTTCTCTGGATGGTAAAAATTATATGTTTTTAATTTTCTTTGTATCTTTCTGTATTTTCCAAATTACCCACAATAAGGGGGAAAGTATCATTTTTCTTTTTAAAGCCTTCTATTCTTACAGCTAGACGTCTGGGTATCTTTTAAGAAAAGCATTTCATTTTTGTTCGTGGGATAGGGGAGTCGGGTAGACACAAACTCTAGAATCCAGCATTTAATTATGGATTATCCAAATTCATCCAACTAGGCTTACCAGTTCACTGTGAATAGATAACCAGGGACTGAAAACTGCTAATAAACTAACCTGTAATCCCACTATCACAAAATAAAAAAAACATTATAAAATAAGAAAACTGTCTTTATAAAGAATATTGATATGTAACATAAGGATCAGTTTAGAGCAGTCAGAAATGAGAGATTCCTTAAAATAAAAGTGTCAGTGAAGCAGAAGTAGACACAAAACAAGCTCCATGCAATGAACAGCACTGTTTCAACTTTGTGCCAAGTACATCCTATTGTGCTGGGAAAGTTTAAGAACTCTTCTCATGTATACCCAATATACTTGAAAAAGCAGCTAACCATTGAGTTGTTTTGTATTTACATACAAAGGTAGATAAAATGTATACATGTAGAGGGTATATATCTCTGCTTCTAGGAAAATATGCTTGCTTACTATACTGCTCTAACCCGATACAAAGCAGCTAAATCATAAAGAAGGCCTGAAAACAGTGGCCTCAGGACATCTAGACATTCCTTCAAGCTATAAGGTTATTATGAATTCATATAGAAGTAAAGAAAAACCATTATGGTGATAAAAAGCTACATACCAATGAAGAATGACCACTTTTTGAAAAATGTTTGAGAATGTGCTCTATACCATTAAGATACTGTCAGGTAATAAATCAAAATTTGAGTTTTCATGGAGTTATTTAAAAAATCCTCTTAAAGCTGGAGTATGATGATTCTTTCCTTACTGGTTTCACCCTCCTCAGTTTGGCAAACATTGGATTTTCTCACTTACACTTAAAAATAGAGCCAATATTAGCAGCTTTAAATACAGTGCTTTATGCCAATACCATGCCCTGCTTTGTTTTTTTTATTCCCTGAGTTATCAGCAACATCATATATTGCCAGGAACTTCAATCTCTTCACTTTAAAATGTCAGAACAACTCACCTGGGGCATACAAAATATGGCTTGTCTACAAAAATGGTACACAGTTAAAGTCCACAGGGCTTGCTTGATGAGAAATTATTTACATAATTTTAATTAAAAACCAATAACGAAAACAGATGCTATGTTAACATTCCACTTCGGAGTCCATAGTCCAAATACTGCAGGAATTAATGAGCTGAGAAAAACCAGGTAAAGTCCCAAAATACCAATAAATATTAGCTTTCACTGAGTAAAATATTTCTTAAAAGTAAACAATCAATATAATGGTGAAAAGAAAATAAAGATACTCAAATATTTTTTTTTAATAAGCTAAAGTGACATTAATAAATGAAATTATAAGATATGGTCCCTCAAAGATGAATAAATCCTAGTTCTTTCTTCCTCTATCTAGCTTGTGTGGTCTTAGATAGGTCAATTTCAACTCTCTAAACTTAAATCTGTCTGTACCTGTCAACTGTGGGTGATACCAACTATTCAGATTTATCCATTCTGAAAGGACTGACAAATGGGAGAATACTCAGTAAATGAAAAATCTCTATACAAATATAAATCATAGTAATTCCATTCTGATTAAAAACAACTAATGTTCTATTTTAAAACTGTCAAAAACTTAATGTGTGAAAATTTAATACTAGAAATAAAAAACTAGACTTAATCACTAAATATCAGGACTAAAAACAAAGCTCCAGATTTCTAAGCAGAAAACAGATCTAACAGAATCCTTCAACAGTGAAATGTTTTTTCCTCTTACTGGTTACCTATAGCTTTAACGTATTTCAGATATACCTACCAGAAACTATATTACTGCTAATTATCTTGCCCCCCAAGGTAGCTAATGACTTGGGTACTACTGTGATGATGCTGCCACTGGTAGTTTTCACATAGGTTGCAGCTCCAGGGGTTGCAGCCATCCGACCTATGGACGGGCTCACTGTTGGCCGGGTATAGGTTGCCTGTGTGCCTATAAAAAGGGAAAAGCCAAAAGAAAAACTTGTCATTACTTATAGAAGAATGACAATTTATACAGTTTAGCTATAATTCAATGTAATCTACATTGCTTTAACTTGAAAATGGAATTTCAAGGTGTCAAGACATTAAGTAACAATTTATAGACAGTTTTCAATGCACATAGCAAGAACCACAGCCAAGTCAATTTGGATTAATTTTACACATAAAATTTTGTGATGTGTTGCATCAAATTACCAACCTCAAGAAAAAGTATAACTATGTTCCTTTCTTCCACTACCCTTCTTCCACTAGTTCTATGCCAAAAGAAACTTAAATTTAATCATCTTTCCTGCCAGAGCATTTTAGATATTTCTGTTACAGATTTTAAGGTCTCTACATCTGTTTTATGCTGTCACAGTGCCAAACCCAATGTCAGCATTCAGCAAATAAGGCAGTATTGTTTGCTTAAAATTTTAGAAACTTACGCTATTTTGTACTCTGCTATTCTCTAAATATATTTCTATCTTTTAAAGAATTATTCCATCATTTTACTAGAGATTAAAGTTGAAGCTGCCAAGAGTTGCCAGGAATATTTCTTTTGGCCAAAAAAGTTCACTATTTACATATTTCCTCAACTCTAACTGACCCCTTAGAAAATTTTTCTTCATGTCTCTCAAAGGATTTTGCACTCTTCCCCACTATTCCAAAGATGTTTTCTTTTCCCAAACAAGAATTAAAAACTAACCGGATGAGCCTGTTATAGTTTCCTACAAGTCCAGTAACTCAGAAATACTATTTCTACACTAAGAACTATTAGTCTGGGGAAGAAAGAAGATGACTAAGATAATATCTTCTTTGACAGGAAAGCATTTTTTCATAATAATTAGAATGGTCATCGTGATAACCGTTTTCAACAACTCCCTCCCTGCAAAAATGCTTTTATCAAGATATTTAAAAATTTTTAAATACAATCACAACCCAAAAAAAGGAGGAGGGGAAGAACATTAAGTAGAATTAATTTAAGTCAGTTACAAACATACATTTGAATCCCCCTCAAAAAAATCTAGTGCAAAGGGGGCACCCGGGTGACTGAGATGATTAAACGTCTGCTTTCGGCTAAGGTCATGATCCCAGGGTCCTGGAATCGAGCCCCACATCGGGCTCCTGACTCTGCGGGGAGCCTGCTTGTCCCTCTCCCTCTGCTTCTCCCCCTGCTCACGCTTGCTCGCTCTCTCTCTCTCTCTCTGTATCTCTGTGTCTCAAATGAATAAATAAAATCTTAAAAAAAAAATCTAGTGCAAAGTAAACATGCTACAAACATAATGTGAACCAGCTAAATTTTAACAAAAAATTTTCCACTTAAGCTTTTGTTTTAAAAATAGAAACACCTTTTCTAACAGAGATACACAGGCACAGACAGACATTATTTTTTACTATCTTTCCCTAAGGTAAAGAATCATATATAAATAACACTATTATTTTTGTACCAAATGGAAAAAAGTAGGGGGGGGGGAGGGGGGGGAGGGTGGAGTATGATAAATTTAATGCAAGAACAGCATGTTTTTAAAGCACAGGTTTTGCAGAGACAGCAAGTAGAATGGTGGTTGGCAGGGACTGCGGGAAGGTGGTAATGGAGAGTTATTGTTTAATGTGTAGAGTTTCAGTTTGGGAAGATGAAAATGTTCTGAAGCCTGATGGTGATGATGGTTATAAAATAACATGAATGCACTGAATGTCAATGAACTATACACTTAAAATGGTAAATTTCATGTTCTATTTTACCACAATTAAAAAGAAAAAAAGAGAGTCAAACAAATGGGGGTTCAAATCCCAGATCTTCCTTTCATTGGCTGCATGACTTTGGGCAAGTTGCTTAACATCAGTCTCTGTTTTGCTGCTAAAAGTGGAGATATTAAAGCCTAAGGAAGATTAAGTGTAATGTCTGTATAGACCTTTACATCCTGGCCAATAAATGATAGCTTTATAAACTTGAGACAGGTACCATTTTACACTATTTACATTCTATCATCTAAGTACTGGCCCTTCTCAAAAAATCTGGTAAGAGTTATACAAATTTAAAATAGTAGTAATAGCTAATTCTTACATTAATTAATAATAATAGCTATTGAGCACTCTGCTGGGGATTGTACATACCGGATTTCCTCTAATACTTATAATAACCTTATGGTACAGGTATTGTTATCCCATTTAAACAGACAGGGGAAAAGACTTACAGGAATTAGTAACCTGCTCAAGGACACAAAGGGTGGTACTATTTAAAATGTTCTACACTGTCACTTCCTTGGGCATAGCCTGGTTGTTCTCATATATGGGCAAAATGGCATCCTGGGCTTCTCTCAGTCTGAGTAATGCTTACTACACCGCAATGTAATACAGACTTTCAGCCTCCTAAGAGTGCAATCCTTCTGGGCTGGGAGAGTGTGTTTTCGGTTCCTCAACAAATCCTGATTAAACACCTACTTGCAGACCAGCTCTACATATATATGGTGAATAAAACAAAGATGGTCCCTTATCATGGAGCTTATGGTCTAGTAAGGTGAACTACATTAAATCAACAAACAAGTAGTGAAGAAATTAGAAGCTGTAGTTATGTGCTATAAAGTAAAAGAACAGAAGACCATGACTATAATAAAAGAAAGCTAATTTTAGTTGGGGGGGAAAGGCTCTTAAAGAACTGTCTCATTAATCTCTATATCCCCAGTATCAAGCACTATGTTGATACAAAGAAATTACTCAATGACTATATGATGAATGTATGGACTGATGCTCGAGAAAACTTACCAGTAGGAGTGGTTACCAGTTTAGTTGTCATAATTGCACCATTACTGCTAACCACCATAATAGGGGAATTGCTACTGGTAGGCAGAGTTGCTGTCACTGGTTTGGGTAAGATTTTACTTGGTTGAACTTGTTGTGTGATGATTTTAACACCTTTGAAAGAAGAAAGAGAAATCTCAATACAGATTATTTTGAAAAACATTTTCCTTATACCAACCCAAGAGGGCAGTAGTTACACATATTTGCTCAGTCTTGCCTAAAGAGAAGCTTTTTTCAAAATGATGAAACTTTCAATTTTTATTCCTTAAATTCCTATCTTTCCTGATTCCTCTCATTCAAGAATATAATTAAGATATTACAGAAACTATTAACAATTTCTTTAAAAAAACATTTTTTCCTTTTGTCTATGATCACGTCAAATAAGAGCTTTCAAACCAAATTAGTGTAATGATGTGGATTTTTTACATTTTTAAAAATTTTTATTTATATGTTAATTGTTACATTGACTTTCCAAGTGTAAAATATCCATTTAAAAGAAATCTCTCAAAAAAAGTAAAATAAAAAATAAAATGAATCTCTCATGCTAACTATAAATTTAAGTACTAGTAATTGTTAACTGAGGAAGGAAATTTTTGGTAACACTTTTCCCCCTGACTAACTTCACTGAAAAAATCCATGGGATGGAGTATATTGTCATAGACAACTAAAAATTATATTACTTTTTAGATAGTGATTTAGGTTGAGATATTAGGAAGCAAATACATCTATTTAACAACCTTAAATAATTTTAAATTTTTTTAGGCCAACTAAGAAGTTAAAATTATGATCATCACCTAGGCATAACTGGGCAAATTATTATCTCTATAACTCAGTTTTCTCATCCATAAAATAAAGATACTATCAGTATATACATTCTTGGGTTGTTATAAAGATTAAATAAATCAAAATTGTAAAGTACCTAATGCATAGCAAGAATTCAATAAAGTATTATTACTGTAGAGATAAAGAAACTCTGATTATAATAAATCATAACCAGTGAAGTTGTAGGGAAAAAATTTTTTCCAGTATTATCTCATTAGTGAATTACAATAATGCTTAAGACACATAAAAAGAAGTACACCTCCCCCAATAACCACAGACAGAAAAAACTTAATGGAATCATAAGAGATTACTTTGCTCAGTCCTATGCAAATAGACTGAAAATTTAGATCAAATAGATTATTATCTAGAAAAATATTAGTTATCAAAATGGACTTCAGAAAAGACAGGTATCTAATTAGACAAATTTCCTTAAGATAAATTTTAAGGAACTCCTCCCCCTTCATCAATAAATAGCAGGCCCAGATAGTTTCACAGAACAATTCTATAGTCTGTAAAAAGAAGATAATTACAATGTATTTAAAACCATTCCTCTTTAAAGTTCTCATTATCAGAAAAAAAAAAAATTTGTAACTGTGTGGTGATAAATGTTAACTAAACTTGTTGGGGTGATTATTTCATAATATATACATATATCAATCAAATCATTATGTTATACACCTAAAAATAATACAATGTTATATGTCAATTATATCTCAATTAAAAATGAAAACCATTCAGACACCAATTTCTGACAAGAGAGCATGAGGAGCTCTGCTAATCTGCTAACCCAATGGAACTAGTAAAATGATAACCAATGAGAAGCTCTGGAAATAGTCCCAAGGACAAATGAAGAAACATCTATTTAAGAGTATGTAGAAAAATCCGGTAAGAAAGGAGAGATCTGTGGTATTTAAACTAAGACCTGTCCCTCCTTACCCACTAAGAGGGAGGGAAAGACTCCTCCCCAGACTGCTGTAGTCAAGAACACAAGGTTTCCTCTTATTCCAGCTCCCTGGAGCAGTAGGACTTCAGTTTACCTCATCCTGCCCCCAGGTAGGTATTGCGAAGCCCCAGGCAAGTGATGTCAAGAAGTGTGCATTCTCTTCTTCTGCCAAGCCCCCAACTGATGGAACAAAGGCTATACTTTGGGCACAATGTTACTGAGAAACTGGAGTCCTGACCACCATTGCCCAGGCTTGTGAGGTGGTGGCTCTACCACCAGAAGCAAGCCAAGAGGATGTCAGGCTGTTGCCCACACTCCTACCCTTGCCTTCACTGAGTGCTCAGCTTCTAGAGCAGGAGTGTCATTCAGAGAAGAGCTCCAGAGCTGCCTGAGGGTAAAAACAGATAATAAAATAGATAGTTTGCAATCTCTTCCCAAAGGAACTGGCTTCGTTTGTAATAGAGCATGGAGAAGTTCAAGCTCTCAAGAACAGTTGAGGACGTGATGAAAGGCAACTGGAAGAAGATTTATGGATTTAAGAAAAAACAGTCAGGGCGCCTGGGCAGCTCAGTTGGTTAGGCGTCTGCCTTTGGCTCAGGTCATGATCTCAGGGTCCTGGGGTTGAGCCCTGAGTCAGGCTCCCTGCTCAGAGGGGAATCTGCTTGTCCCTCTCCCTCTGCCTCTCAACCCTGCTCATGCTCTCTCTCAAATAAATAAAATCTTAAAAACAAACAAACAAAAAACCCCGACATTCAAGACAATAGGCCAAACAGCTTGCAGAAGAGAACTGAGGTATAAGGAAGCTAAGAGGAACCATCTGTGGTCAGAACAAATACACCTCTGAAACTATTCCAACAATTTAGACTAGTTTGTAAAGCAACTTAAGACTCCAAGACACTGTTGAAAACAATAGAGTAGTTTAACAGTTGGGTGTGGTCAGAGAAAGAGCAGGAGAGAGTCACACTAATTCCACTGTCATCTCAGAACAACTGTGAGCATACCCAGAGCTGTAACTCCCTGAGCAACAGCATCAGAAGCTTACTTCACTAAAATAATTGATCTAGTTACAAAACAACAAATAGTGAAGTAAATAACAAAAAAAAATCACAGACTGGGAAGGTACAAGAAGACCAGTATCTAGCTACAATATATAATGCCTAATATCTAAAATATCAAGGGGTGCCTGGCTGGCTTAATTGTAGAGCATGTGACTGTCAATCTCAGGGTTCTGAGTTCAAGCCCCACGTTGGGCATGGAGTCTACTTTTTCAAAAATAATTAAGTAAACTAAATAAAATATCAATATAAATATCTAAAATGTCCAGTTCCAACAAAATACAAGGAGGCATACAAAGAAACAGGAAAATATGACCCATACACTGGGAAAAAAAGCAGGCAACAGAAATTCCCTATGAGAGCAAACACATGTCAGATTTAACAACAACAAAAGACTTCAAAGCAGCCATTATAAATATGTTCACAGAAGTACAGGAAAGCATGATGATTGAAGTAAAAGCAGGTATGATAACAAAGTTGCATCAAACAGAGTATTAATAAAGCAACAGGAATTACAAAAAAAGAACCAAAGAGAAAATTTGGGGTTAAAAAGTATAATAACTGAAATAAAAAATTCGCTAGAGGGGCTCAAGAGTAGATTTGAACTGGCAGGAAAAAATAAAAGAGCAAATGTGAAAATAGAGCAATTAGATTATGCAAGCTGAAAAAAATGTCAGAGAAAAAAGAATGAAGAAAAATGAACAGAACCTCAGAGAAATGTAGAACAGCATCAAGTGCCCCAAACATATATGTAACAGAACTACCAAAAGAAAGAACAGCAAGAAAAGAGAAGAAGAAATATTCAAAGAAATTGCTGAAAATGTCCTAAATTTATTTGAAAAGCAGTAACTTATACATTCAGGGAGCTCTATAAACTCCAAACAGAATAAACACAAAGAGATCTACAAACAGACACATCATACTAAAAATGCTAAAAGTCAAAAGCAACAGAAGAAATCTTGAAAGTAACAAGAAAAAACCAACTTATCACTTATAAAGGAACTGCATTAAGGTTAATAACTGACTTCTCAGCAGAAACTGTGGAGTTTAACAGGCATTAAGACAACTATTCCAAGTGTTCAAAGAAAAAACTGCCAACCAAGAATCCAATATCCAGCAAAGCTATCTTTCAGAAATGAAGGCAAAATAAAGACTTTACCAGGTAAACAAAAATAGAGGGAATCTGTTGCTAGTAACAATGTGCTGCCTTACAACAGACACTAAAGGAAGTTCTATGATAAGAAGGAACAAGGAACAAAACTTTGATGTTCACTCTTGACAGTTATACTCAACATTTTACTAGAGACTCTAGTCAGGGAAATTAGGCAAGAAAAAGAAATACAAGGCATCCAGACTGTAACAGCAGAAATCATCTCTATTTGTAGATGACATGATCTTTTATATAGGAAATCCTAAGAAATTCACCTATAACTATTAGAGCTAAAAAATGAGTTCAGCAAAGGTACAGGGTATTAAATCAACACAAAAATCAGTTGCATTTGTATAAATTAGCAACGAATAATCCCAAAAATGAAATTAACAATTTCATTTACAGTAGCTTCAAAAAAATACTTAGGAATAAATTTAACAAAAGAAGTGTAAAATTTATATTCCAGAAACCATACAACATTGTTGAAATAAATTAAAGAAGATCTAAATAAACGGGAAAACATCTCATGTTCATGGATCAAAAAATTTAACATTATTAAGATGGTAATACTCCTAAACTGACCTACAGATTCAATGCGATCCCTATCGGAATCTCAGTTGGCTTCTTTATAGAAACTGATAAGCTGATTCCAAAATTAATATGGAATTGCAAGGGACCCAAATAGTCAAAACAATCCTTAAAAACAGAACAAGATAATAGCAATTACACTTCCTGGTTTCAAAACGTACTACAAATCAGTGGTAACCAAAACAATGCGGCACTGGCATATGGATACACATACACATTAATGGAACAGAATTGAGAGTACAGAAACAAACCCACACATGTGGCTGACTGATTTTCAACAAGTTCAGCAGTGGGGGTGGGAGGGGGGGAGATAGTCTTTTCAATAAATGGTACTGGAACAAATGGATAGCCATATGCAAAAGAATGAAATGGGAGGCTTACTTCACATCATAACAAAATTAACTCAAAATGGCTCAAAGACCTAAATTTAAGAGGTAAAACTATCAAACACTTAGAAAAAGACAAAGAGATAAATCTTTATGATCAGGAATTTGGTAAAAGATTCTTAAATATGATACCAAAAGCATAAACAACATTAGAAAAAATAAACTGGACA